CCGTGAGGGCCGGTGCGATGGTAAGCAGCGCGCAGCGGGAGGCCCGGAGCTGCCCGCTGCTGCCCAGGCGAGGGGCGCTAATCGGGGTCACGCGCGCGGGGCCCGTGCCCGTCCCGCGGCGCCGCTCCCAGCGCGGCCATGAAGTGCCTGAGAGATCAAACGAGGGGGGCAAACGGGGCGGCGGCGCCTCCCGCGGGCTGCGCTTCCCCTGCCCACACTTGGCCGGGGGGAGCCCCCCACGCCGCGGCCCCCCCCCCCCAACGGCTCCCAACGGCCGCGGCTCTCACCTGAAGGCGGGCCCCTCGCGTGGGGCCCGGCCGTGCGGCGCCGCGGCGCCGCCGCCCCTCTTGTTGAAGAGCTTCTGCAGCAGCGTGGGGGCCATGCTGCCTGCCCGCCCGCCCGGCCGCCCCGCCTCGCCTCGCCTCGCCCGGCGCCTCAGGCGGCAGCGGGCGGCGGCGGCCGCGGCAGCAGCATCCCCGGCGCCGCGGAGCCGCCCAGCATGGCGCAGGGGAGGCGAGGGCAGCGCACGCCGCACGCCCGGCCGCCTCGCGCCGCTCCCCGCCGCTCCGCCCAGCGCCGCCGCCGGCAGCCGCCAGTCACGGGACCGCGCCGCGGAGACGCCGCCGCGCCGCGCCCCTCGGGCGCTCCCCATTGGCCGCGCCGCGCCGCGGGCCCGCCCCCAGCACGTGGTTAGAGCGCCCGGAGCCAATCTTAAAGGCGCACGATCCCCCTCTCCCCGCACCTCGCGCGGCGTGGCCGTTGCGACCGTTGGAGCCGTTGGCGGGGCTGCGGGGAGAGCCCTTAAAGGTCCCCGCGGCTGCGGGGAGAGACAATGCCGTGTGTACATGTGTCTGTTGAGACAACCACAAACGTGGGCAGTACGCCTGGGTGTGCACTTATATGTGTGTGTGCATRTGTGTATATATATATAGCATACATTATATATACAGAATAATATATGTATACCCACATATGCAATGTACCCATTTGTATGTCTGCTTTATTTGTATATGTATATATTTTATGCATACACACATGTAAAGCATCTATTTATTCCCTTTCCTGAGCTCCGGCAACTTTTTTTTCCTCCCRGGAAAGGAAACTTCTGGACACTACACATTGCACAGGATAAACTATTACAAAAATTGTAGGKTTTTTTTTTTTTTTCCCTACAGGCAGATGTGGTTGTGTGGTTTTGTCCACCAGCAGGGTCATATTTTCATAGGTCCATCAAGAGAACATAGATCTGAACTCTTGTTTTTAACCAGCGATTGCGGTGCAGTAAGCAAGCAAGATCATGGCATCTTAGCTCATTTTCAGGAAACCTAGAAAATCACCAAAGGCTTTTGCAATGTACAACACAAGAAATCCCTGTGACAAGTCTTTTATCTTCTTTCAGTGCACATATTTAGCACTGCAAGAGGTACAATTTCAGTCCTGACTGCTTTGTAAAAAAGGGAAAAGATTTGAAAAAAAAAAAAAAGATAGTGATATTTTTTGAAGAGGAGTGAAGGATACTACCCTGAAGTTTTTGAACCCTCRGGTCATTAGGCACTATCTGATAGCAAATACAAATCAGTGTTCTTTTTCAGATGTGACTGTCCAAATACCCTTTATCTGGCAAGCCTACAGTCCTAAAGAGTGTGTCAGCAACATGGTAGATTGTGTAGTGCTTTTTTTTTTTTTTTTTTTTCCCCCACACAGGAATTACTGTAATGGCCAGAGATGCATAAAATAACTTATCTTTGACTAGTTGTAAACTGCTCTGTGCACCTGACAACTACCAGTGGCTGGAGCACGTTGGGTGTGTTCCTGAAACACATCTGATTTAGTTTCATCTGTTTGGGTGCSTGGGTACTACTCCTAGATGTAAACAAAGACAGTTAGTGGGGACACCTGGGAGATTCACTTGAAAAGTGCACTWCTGATCTGAGCAAAATTGTAAGGTAAATGCACCCTGTGGCTTGGCTGATGCTCTGCCCAGTAGTAGTTCACAGTATTTTTTGTTTATGTATGTAACTGTCAGTATGCTCTCAAGTTGATAAGAAAACATGAAGACAGTGCTTCCTTCTAAAAGCACACTATTCCTTAAGTTTATTCTTCAAAAAACATGGGGCAAACACAGCTTAATCGGCAGAGAATCTGGAAGTAGCTTTCAAAAAATCAATATGCACTATCCCATCCCAAACGGAGTTGCCTGGAAAGTACGCTTGACAAACAAAATTTTTCACTGTCTTTCTCATGTGTGCAAAATRCGAGCAGGTGTAAAAGAAGCAAAGCTGTACCAGGTCAAAAGCAWACATCATTCACAGCAAGGTGTTGTCTCAACAGCCCTGGCTCTTAAAGAAAATGCAAAAAATACAGGTATGCCACATGAAAATCAAAAACTTATTTATAATAGGTACTGAAGGACTAGACGCTTCCTGTACAGAGAGCGCTGTCAGTACATAAAAGGGATAATTTACATCCTAAAATAGTTGAGTGCTTGAATAAGCGTTCCTGGGTTTTTCAGAGCATAAATCTCTGTGAAGAGCATAAATCTCTGTGAAGAGATTTATGCTCTGAAATATATATACACTTTTTTTTTTTTTTTTTTGAGGAACTAAGTTTTATAGCCAGGAACTTTTATAGCCAGGACAGGCTGGAATAAGAGCCAAGGCTACTAAGTCATGGCTGTTTCCAGTCTTGAATGCACAAGTCCCAAATCCTCCTACACATCTGTAGCAAAAACTAAGCTTTGCAAGAACCACAAAAAAAAGAAACCAGAAACCAGAACTGGTAACTGCTGAAGATTTAACAAAAAACTTGGTTAATCCAGGATGTCTGTTAAATACCTACTTACTCCTTTGGGTGGTGATGCATAGTTTATAAGGTTGTATGAATWCCATAAACCTGCGGTGCTTATAGGGCATCAGCTACATTTTGGATTCTGTGAAATAAACAGAATCAGATTTTCTTGCCATCTCAYACAGGCCGAGTAGAATGTGGTATCAAAAAACAGAGAGAGATTAGGGATTAATAATTACTTGTTGTTAATTGTATTATTTAGTGTAGTAAATCTAAGTGACTTCCTATACAGAATGTTAAAATATATTACAAAATGTCTTATACCTTACAAACAGGGAGAGAAGTTGACAGGAAGACAGAGTTCGAGATTGCAGCCCCCTACAAACTATCTTACTCATCCTGCATTGAATGTAGTGTTACATAACTCGTGCTGTTGCTGCAGCAACTTTCCCCAGTGTCTGAATAATGACATGAAGGTGTTGCCTTAATATAGACAGGCAGTTACACCGTCTTTTCACATGAAGGATAAAGTCAGTGAAAAATGAAAGGCATTTTAAAGGGTAATAATAATTTAAGGTACTWGTTTTAGAATCATTGGTAAGTGTTAATATATACAATGAAACATATAATGAAATAAAGATGCATCTACCTGTGCATGTCCTGTCGCTTGTCCAGAAGCTGGTTTGCTTCCCCTCTACAGCAGGGCTGTCGGAGTTAGCAGATTGCATTTCTAACCCTCCTGCCTGGGAAGCCTTCCAAAGCTCAGTCGGAAATCACAGTATCCCGAATTTTGAAAGGCAAAACCTGTAGTTGGCCTTGCTGTTTGCTGGCTGCACTCTCATCTTTTAAGCCATGCTGATCATCTTGGACTTCATGATACCTACATTTGATGCACACCAAAAAGACTCTCTACTATAATAAAGAATACAGTCATGATAAAGATCTACTTAGCTGCTTTTTGGTGATAATTCTTCTCTATAAGTATCATTATATATTTACATGAAATTACAGAAACATACAGGTCATATATCAAAAGGAGGTATATAAGATCCACATGAAAAAAACTCTTGCTCTGAAATGCCTTGGAGTGCACTCAGGCTGGAGTGTCACACCTAGCAAGGACGATTTGCCAAAGGCCTCAAGTTTTGAGCCTCCCCAACACATGTTTTTCTAATGGCAAGAKTCAAACTAATTTTACTAGGTTGTCCAAGCTATATATGCAGGAAAATAAATATATGAATTAAAATAAAAAGTTTAACAAGCAATTCAGCTATTAATTATATACAAGAGGTATTGCTTTGCAAATATGTACAAGTTATCAGAAGTATCTAACAATATTTGCATAAGAGGAAATAGTTTTAATTTACAAAATCACAAAGCATTTCCRGATCACAAGTCAGTCATTTTACTGCTTGAAAATAGAGCTCAAAGGGCTTTTTAAAATGCCTCTGACTTTCAAAGGGATTATTTACTTATGAATTCAGCATACAACTTAATGTATTAATTTAATCACAAGATCAGTAAATTCTTGAAAGAAGCGATGCTATGTCTGATCTTTTTTTTTTTTTTACAATTGCCAATTACTATAAAATGATACATATAGTATATATACACTATATTAGATTACAGTACTACAGTACTATAGTGCCTGGGTGCCTAGCAGAAGGAGATGGCTCATTCTGCTCACATAATTTCCCATCCTGTCTGGTTAGGCTGTAATCTCTTCAGGTTAGGGATTGCCTCTTTCTTTGCACCTCTGAAGTACCTTGCACAGGGGTTCTTCCAATTCATGTAACATGAACTATCACCCTAGAATCTCAGTCTATTACAACCTGGCGAGGGAAGAAGCCCGCAGGGTGTGCGCAGACTGCATCAGCTTCTTGCCGAGGGGAAGCTGCCAGCAGCCCTCAAGGGAGATTACAAAAAACAAGCAGGCAAGCAAGCAAACACCAMCAACAGGCACTTCCCTCAGGGGTCTGCTCAAGAAGTCTCTTCCAGATCATGCCCTCTCGGCCAGCGTCACGGGGATCAGAGCTCCTGCTGCTCTTYACCTATGCTTTGTGTGACGACAAGGGCAGATCCCGGTGGCTGCCACTACGGCCGAGCGCAGCGTCACTTGGGGAGGACTCTGGGCGTCCCGGAGCCTGGGAAATCCCTGACGCAGCTGCACAACCTGCCCCAGAGAGAGAAATGCCTTCGTGTGCTTCCACTAATCCCTCACTGCGTGCTCCCGGATGCGCACGCATGGCCTTTCCTTCTGTTGAGGGTTCCCACATGTGAGACAGAGCAGCGCTCAATGCTGATCTCTTCTTTTACTCAACATCTGCGTAGAGCCTGTGAAAACAATCTCAATGTAGAACAATATTATTAACATCAATGCTACTTTATCCTTCCTTTTAACCCGGGAATTACAACTGCCCCCAATACTCCTAATACTGAAGACACACTGCAAGACAGATGAAAACCAGCCCGATGAAGCTCGCGTCCAAAACTTCAAAGGTGACAGGAACTAGGAGAGGAAACGTTTGTGGGCCGCGATGAACCCCGAAGAAGGCAGGGCTCCCAGGACGCCTCAGGGCAGCAGGGCACGGAGAGGCCCGTTTCGACGAGCCGCGTTCCCAGGGCGGCCCCGCTCAGCTCCGGCCTCGCGCCGCGCCTGCCTCCATTTTGTCGCGGCGCCCGTTAGGCCGAGCCCGCCCCCAGGCCGAGCCGGGCCTGTCCCGCCCGGGGCCCGCCGGGGCGCAGGGCCGTGCGGGGCCCGCGGGGCGGAGCGGGAAGCGGGGCGGAGCGGGAAGCGGCCGCGCCGCCTCTGCCCCGCCGCGGCGCCAGCGCCGACATGTCGCAGCCGAGCCCGGCCGCGCGGCCCGGCAACCCCCGCAACCCGCGCGCCTTCTTCGACGTGGACGTCGGCGGGGAGCGAGGTGGGGAGGCCGCGCCGGATCTACCGGGCTGGCCTAGGCCAGGGCGCAACGTGCGCCAGATCTACCCGCGCCGGGCCGGGCCAGGGCGCAGCGTGCGCGGCGGGCGCCAGGTCTGCCCGTGCCGGGGCGCGAGGGAAGCGGGCCCGGAGCAGGCCCGGGGCGAGCCGGCGGCCCGGTCCTCCTCCTYCTCCCGGTCCCTGGCTTCGGGGCTGCGCGGCCAGTGCCGGGCTGGAAGCCGGAGCGGCCCGTGCACAAGCCGGGCTCCCGCAGTACGCGGGTTTGGGATGCAATTCCCGTCYGCCGGGGCGCCGCGCCCGCCGGTTCGCCCTGCTGCCTCACCGGGGGGAAAGTCAGTGCCTCAGAAACGCACTACCGCCTGCCRGTTGTCTTAATTTGCTTTCGTTCCTGTATTAATTAGAATTAACTTACCTACATGTGGCTTCCAGTAGAATGAATGAAATGGTGTTAACTAATTGTTAGGCTGATGAGGAAACTGCAGCGTTGCTGATGGCAGCTGCCAAGAGTGAGAAATCTGACAGGCCAATTTATTAAAAAATAATATAGCATCCATTTATCTGTATGTGTTATCTAATTAGTTTTGCATTAAGTAAAACCGTGCATATTTTTGCATTTAATGATTGTCTTCTTGCATCTATAATAGTGATTTATTCATACACATATAAAGTATTATTGTTACTGTCTAGTAACTAGTAAATAAGATTACATGTCAAGAGAATTACAAGTAGTATTGATAGGCACATTTAGCCACCTTTTGGCTCAGATAAGAGCTACCATRATACTCCTTTGTGTGTGTGTATGTACGTGGGTGAAACCTTTGCCTTGCTTTGGTCTAAAAATTGCAGACTTTAATAGCATGACAGTTTTATGAGCCTGTATTTTCTAGCTCCAGAAAGTATAAGTTCTGTGCAGATACAGTATCTATTTTTGATATTCTTCGTAGCACAGTTCATTGCTGATAATATCTTTGCTCTGTCAAGTAGGGCTCTGTCATTGTTTGCCACAAAACAATCCCCAAAAGCAAAAATAATCTTATGAATAAAAATGCCGTTGCCCTGCAGTGCTCTGCACCTGATTGTGCCTAGGAGAGGACTTAAAACGTCTCACCCTSTGTTTGTCATTTCAGTCGGGCGGATTGTCTTTGAGCTGTTTGCAGACGTTGTACCTAAAACTGCCGAAAACTTCCGTGCGTTATGTACAGGAGAGAAAGGAGCAGGGCCCACCACGGGAAAACCCCTCCACTACAAAGGATGCCCTTTCCATAGAAGTAAGCTCTGTGAAATTCTCTATTACACCGTGGAAAATGGAAATCTTCTATTAATATCTGAAATAAATAATATTAAATAATATCCGGGAGCACTGGATTTAATAATGATCTTCTTTTACAGTTATTAAGCAATTCATGGTCCAGGGTGGAGATTTCTCAAATCAAAATGGCACAGGCGGAGAAAGCATATACGGTGAAAAATTTGAAGATGAAAACTTTCATTATAAGGTATTCTTTTGAAAATAGACCTTGAGTTTAATTTTAAAGTTTTAGTGATTTTTATTTAAATTGAATCCTATTGCTCCTCAGAATATTCTTTTTAATTGCCCTATTAGAAGTTCAGTAAAACGGAGTGCAGCCTCTCCAAAGTTGTCATCATGGTTGTCATTGCAATATATAGTAATAGCTTTTCCGGCATTTTATGTATGATTTTATAGCGGATCTTGTATATCTTGGTTGCAATTTTTTCTTGTTATACAGCATGATAAACCAGGGCTGCTGAGCATGGCAAATGCAGGACCTGGTACCAATGGCTCTCAGTTCTTCATTACAACGGTGCCTACTTCTCACCTGGATGGGAAACACGTGGTGTTTGGCCAAGTAATCAAAGGAATGGGCGTTGTTAAAATATTAGAGAATGTTGAAGTGAAYGGAGAAAAGCCTGCTAAGGTAAGCCATATCCAGCTGCCTAGGAATCCTGCTTCTGTTTCCGTTAGGTGATGTCTTGACTAAAAACTATGAATTGATTTGACCTCCTTTTCAGGATGATTAAAAATTATTTACCATTTACTAGAAAAAAAATGCTTAAGGCATCATTTTTAGCAAGTTGTTTGGAGGAAGTATTGAACCATACAGTTAGCCTTTCATTCTCTCCTTCTGCAAACAGTTTGCAAGTCTTGTTTAGCACTTACTGAGACTAAGGATTTATAGGACTGTAGGTTCCTCCAATCTGAAACATTTCTGCCAGAGCTATTGAGAAGGGAAAAAATGATTTTGTGATTAAAAACTATTGAAGTGGTTACTCGTTTTCTAAAGTGTTTTAGAAAAATCAGTCAGTGGATTTTTATGTCAGTTTTATGTCAGAAACTTGTATATCCTATAAAGCAATCAACCTGTAGTTCATGTCAGCTTGTCACTGTTGGGAAAATGTATCTGTTACTTTAAAAGGCTTGTCAATTTGAAAAAAGAGAACAGTCACCTCTGATATAATTGCTGTAAAGTCCTGCTTGCTGCAGCTCTTCTTACTGCTATTTCCTCTTCCAGCTTTGTAGGAAGCGGGTCGGGTGTGGTTGGATGCTGGTGCTTGAAGGTGACAGATACTCTCTGCAGTAAAAACCTTTGGGCTGAGTCGAAGGGTGATGTGACAGGCTTCCGAAATTGCTGCACCAAGCAGCAGATGACAGAGCGTTTTTACAGCATTTCAGAGAGCACACAGTCCTTTTTTTTTTTTTTTTCTTTTTTTTTTTTTTCTGATATTGTCTTGATGTACAGTNNNNTTTTTTTTTTTTTTCTTTTTTTTCCCTAGTTGTGTGTTATTGCAGAATGTGGAGAGCTGAAGGAAGGAGAAGACTGGGGAATTGTTCCCCAGGATGGCTCTGGAGACACTCACCCAGATTTTCCTGAAGATTCAGATATAGACTTAAAAGATGTAAGTGTTTGATTTTGTTTGTTTGTTTTTCTAGGTAACTGTTTTACAAAAGAAAAAGTGAGATTTGTGAGTAATCTAAATTATACAGTATCTGTGAAGCTCTTCACTAAGCATTTCTTCTCAAGATCAGTCAAAGTAATGATCAAACGTAACAGTGAGTTTTAGGAAAGAGAATGCTGGGGGAGAGAATTGCTGTCTATTTCTTTTTTTCAGTGCTAGCTATGCCTAACTATTCCCAGTAACTAAAAACACAACATTCCACTTTTTTTTTTTTTTTTTTTCACATTGGCTTTTTTTTGTTGTTTTTTTTTGCGCTACACTTTTGGTAGAATTATCAGAACTCCATCTCTCAAACGTGTAACTTCATGTTGCACCTGCACACTTTCCTGTGTGACATTTTATTATTAATATTGTAAGGGTATGTATTTAAAGACCAASCTCTTCTGAAGATCTGACTATAGCAAAGTTAAAAGTTCTCAGTTCCGAATAGTTATTGGGAACTTTTCAGGTTGCAGTTACAGTTAGGAGGCAGAGTCGTGACAGCACTTTTTGTGTTGTGCAGGTTTTTACTTTACCGTGTGAATGAGATGGACAAACTGTGCTAATCAGACAGTGATTTCTGAGGAAAAAAGGGGCTTGTCTATGTGGATTCCAAATACAAAATCAGAAATAGAAGAGCAAAAAGACATTCCAATTACAATTCAGACAGACCTTATATCTGCCCCCTGAGAAACACTTTTAACTTGGAAAATTGTTTGGGTAACATTTGTTGTGCTTCAGATCTGAAGTTGGTAGTTGCCTGTATTCCTTAATTTTGTTTATATAAGCTAGTTATAGAAAACCTGGTGAAAAGAGTTTTTAGAGAAAAAATATGTTCATATGACTTTTAATTTGAGATTACATGTAGAGTTCAAGTGATTAATACTGCTTTGAGAAGCAGAAGTCGATATTCTTGGGAATAAAGCAGTTGTAGACTTACATTTTGATTGTTAAGATACCTTGATTTTTCATAAATAGCAATCAGTCAACACCTTTAGGTCTTTAACTGATAAAGCAGCAGCACTGGAGGGGTGAACTGCTTTTGCTCTTTTCTTTTTTCTTTATTTTTTTAAAGGTATTAGGAAATTCATCTTTCACATTACTTATTGGCTCATTCTACATAGAGAATATTGTAGGAGTGGTTTGAAACCACTATTTGTCTAAATTGAAGTAATTTTGTTCTGAGATTTGATGGTGATTTTTGAGAGAGGATGGTCATACAATCCTACTGTGAAAGATTAAATTAAGACCTTCTTCATAAGTAATTTCATACTTTATATTTTCCATCTATTTTATTAGGTTGACAAGATTGTGGCCATAGCAGAAGACATAAAGAATATAGGAAATACTTTCTTCAAATCCCAAAATTGGGCAGTGGCAGCTAAAAAGTATAGTAAAAGTTTACGGTAAGGCTATCATCATTAAACCAGGTAGTTTCTGTAATCCAAATTAACATTGCAATCAAGCAATGATAAGTGAACTTTAAAATGCCTGATGCTGTGCCTTTCATTTTCTCTTAAGTTTTATAAAGACTCCAGAATCTAGAAAAGAASTGCTTGATTTTTAGACACTTAACTCAGATAGTACTTTTGCTGCTTAYTGGGCAAGAATTATATGCAAGAAGTGTTGCTTACAGCTCCGAATTACTCGTGCTGCTCTGTCTATACTGCTGAGCTGATGTGTAGTGGGGAGGAGCAGCACAGCAGCATTTGAAATATTTGGAGAGGGAAGAGCACGAGATGCTGCCGCATCTAAATTCTAACAATCAGTAGCTTTAGGACATGKTAAGTTCAAGAGATATCACATCCAAATATGATACTTAGTAATTCTTCACTATTACTTATTTTTGCTCTGAGGCACTGTGCCATCATCATCSTGATGTCACATGCAATTCAGACTAGTCTTCAAAATCATGATTTTCTGTTCTTGTTTTCCTCCTTTCATACTTTCTGCTTTATACAGTTGAGGTTCTTCCCAATTATTTCTTTTTATTTTTTACTGACATTTATCCCTAGCTTCATAGTTATTAACAGTCAATAACAGTAACAATGATGACAGAAAAAGAACTGAGGCATATTTGGTGATTCATCTGAGTTTTAACGGCCTTGATTTCAAAGAAATGATGTCCTCGTAAAGCACAAAAATTAAAATATTAACCCAAAATGCATCCTCTCCTTTGTGCTCAAAAAACCTGCCATAGTCCCATACAAAATGTGAAATAAATGGAATATATACATAAACATTTTAGAAATGATACAGCAAAACAGGCTGGAACAGATCTTTAAGGAACTTTGTCTTACAGTTGTCCATCTCCTCCTTCCCCCTTTCCTAGGTAAAACCTAGGTATTGTCTGTGTATTTTTCAAGTAAGGCTCTTAAAGCTTTGCCTTTGGAGCTAAAAACCCGACAGCATCAACGCCTTGTGGACGAAGGTCAGAGTGGGCCTGTCCCTTTCCCTAGGAAGCAGAGATGCAGTAAAGGATGGGGCTGGGTCTTGAGCCAGTGCCAGCTCGGGCCTTCAGGATAAGGGTCCTAGGAGTCAGTCAGGGAAGAGGTGATGCTGGAGTTAACAAAGCCCAGAGAATTCCCTCCTTTACCAAGGGAAATGAGCTGTAAGCCATACCCATCTAAACTAAAATACACCTGAGATACAGGTCAGGGTAGGGCTGATATATGTAGGGKTTTTTTTAACAGTGGAATTGAGATGGAGTTAAGAATATGAATTAGGAGAAAATACTAATTTGGAGAAGTTTGTGGGCATGCAGTTTCGGAAAGACTGCTAAAGGCATGATGAAATGGAAGTTAAGCTGACAACATTAATACGTACTCTCTTTAAATCCTTTTTTTTTATACATGTATATTTGTTTTTCTTTGCCTGCAGGTATGTAGAAGCTTCTGAAGCAGTGGCAGAGGCAGCAGACAAACCAAAGTTAAAGACCGTTGCTTTGACTTGCGTTCTAAACATTGGTGCTTGTAAACTAAAACTGTCAGACTGGCAAGGAGCTATTGAGAGTTGCTCAGAGGTAATTTAGTGTTTAATGTTTTCATTTCATAGGGCTACACAGGTATGGAAAAAGCAGCCTTTTCTCCTTCCTTAACATGACAGAACTGTTAGGTAAGTGTAACAGCACAGCTGCACTAGACTTCTGTAATGCATTTAGCTTAGCTCTTTTAGGAAGCATTACACAGCACACCACTGTTCTAATCAGAACAGCAGTGTGCTAAGAACTGACTAACCAGTACGAGTCAAGGTAATGGTTGATGAGAAATCCTACACTTACCTTCAGTTAGGATTCCCCAGGGCCAAATGCTTTTTAAATTAACAGTCTGCACTACAAAGGTTGTTTGCTGTAAATCAGGAGTTAGAAAGAGCTGAACTTGTTCAAACACACCTTCCTTTAAGATAAGTATGAGCACATCTGTCCATCTAAAAAACAAGGAATGMTCCTGTGAATATGTAAGACAGACACTTAATTCTCTGTTGACCCAGAACAGGCTGGTAGCAGACACATAGATCAGGATAAGCTCCTTGCATACACAGACAATGACAAAATGATGTATAGAGAATTGTGGATGCGGCTTCTACTGTCTATAATTCTTAATTAAATAATTAAAAATGATAGATTAATGAAGCCAGATATTCATGCAGAGATTTCCTTAACCATTGAACTGTAGTCTTAAAAAAAAAAAATATGCAAATATATCTTTGTCATAAGAAAYTGATTTTCACCGAAGGAGGGGGAAAAAAAAGCTCCTCGTGGAAAGGACGGAGCTAGCTAAATGCTAAGTTAACTGTGGGACTCAATTACTGTTCAAGTATTTGCACAGTCTGTTTGCCTAGGCAGTGTATGTTCTGTTTTGCTGTTGTCATATTAAAGCTGATCACTGTCCTGGGATATACACATTAGCAAAATTGACTCAATAAGGGGGAAATGAAAACTTTGAAAAGTTCCTGACTCAGGGGCTGGACTGCTCATACACATCCCCCATTCCAGCAAGGAAACAAGGTCTGCATAAAGACTGTTTTCTTTATGATCCCATTGTCAAGGTTCTTTGGTGAAGGAAGGAGCTGTAGCAGAGTCACACCCCGAGACTCGGGGGTAGGATAACGTGAACAGCAGGTACCTTTGCCTTGAAAAATGTAGAGATACAATCTCCRCACTATCCCAAAGTCTTTTGTTCCTCAGAGAAGACCAGCTCTGCTGCAACAGCAGCAAAGCCAACTAGGCAGCTGTTAGGAAGGCTGCAGTGCAGTGTTCCTCTTTACACCGTGACTGTTTGGGGAGTTTACTCTGAAACGAAAYGGGAAGATTGGCTGCGGGAGTGTGTGCTAAATGCTAACGTGGCTATTTGATTCATTTTACAGGCTCTTAAAATAGATCCAGCAAATACTAAAGCTCTCTATAGACGGGCTCAAGGATGGCAGGGAATAAAGGATCTCGATCAGGCATTGGTAATGATTATATATATACACACACATTTATACACACACTTTTTTTTAAATTGAAATACTTTATCAAGATACTCACTTATACTTCTGTTTCTTTAAGGCTGATCTTAAAAAGGCTCATGAAATTGCCCCTGATGACAAAGGTAAAAATTGTTTCTTTATAGATTTTTTTCTTTCTTTTTAAATAATATAACAAATTAAAATGCGACATTATACCAGGGTGAAGCATAAGCTCCTGACTTCTGACACCTTCTGAAACTTAAAGGCTGATCTGTCAAGCACAGAGCCTGCTGAGTGTTGCATAAAAACCTTTTTATACAACATTGATGCCTCTGGAATCATGGGCTAAAACGTCCCCTTCTGCTTGTGTAGGTCAGCAACAYACAGAGGAAGTTCTGCCCCTCTCAAAGTGTAATTTTCTGGTTTTGTTGATACCTCRTTGGATAAGATTCTTGCATCATAAATTCTCTGCTGACATCAATACTATTTTTCCTATATCTTCCTCCGCCTGTTGTACTGTTAGATGAAACAAACTAAGGGAAGAGTCTTTGTGCAGTTAATGTCTGACATGCTAGAAATTAAACGCAGTTCTAGCATTTAAAATAAAGATCAGTAAATTATAGCATTGTCATCTACCCTTGGCAGTATTAGGAAACTTGATGAAAAGTGATTACTATAACTGGATCATGTTTTTTTTCTTTTAAGCAGCTATCCAAACGGAAACAGTTAGAATCAAACAGAAGATGAAAGCCCAAAAGGAGAAAGAGAAGGCAGCTTACGCTAAAATGTTTGCTTGATATTTTTTTCCAAAGCTTTAAACCTAAGCACTAACTCTGTAAAAGAATAAATGGAGCCGCAGGCAAGTGTTTCTTCTGTCAGTTGCCCTGTACTGCAGTTTTTGGCGTTTACAACTTAAAAGTCTAATAATAAACTGTTCAAAGATTAAGTTGTTTTCTCTTTCTTTTTAGCTTTAATAACTTGCGCTTTGTGATTCAGATATGTTGATTGCTAAGGTATAGTGTTTATTGCAGCTTTAATTATTAAAGTTTCTTAAGAGGTTTGTTTCTAGCATAAAAACAAGCTAGACAGTTTCTATTAAGAGTATTGTTTCATTTTTGTTTTTTTTTTTTATTTTATTTGAGCAGACCTGATTTCTTTCTTGTAAGGAATAAAAATGCTGGTAGACATGAAGGGGTAAGTACTACTCATCTTTTTAAATGCTTTACAGATTGTACTGCAAACAGGTTTCCTTGTATTACAAACAGGTTCCTTATTATTCTCAGGAAAAAAAAAACCCCATAAATATAGATTTATCCAACATGCGTAACACTTAATCAGCGACAGTTTTCTAGACCATGTTATTTTCTGTATTGAAATTACAATTTCCTTGAGTAAATAAGTTTAAATAGAGAAAACATACCTTTTTTTTAAGGGTAAGTATTACATTTTTCTACCACACCCATGATTCTGGATATGGCTGCTGTTTTCACTGACCTCCAGCAGTAAATCGAAGATCCAAGCTTCCTTTCAGTCCTGAGAAGAACTTTCTTCTGCCTGCCACTGTAAGCTGGGAAGAAGTACTTTTTAAATAAGGCTAGGGTCTAACCTGAAAGCACTGACTCTCCATTTAATGTAACGGTCATACCTAAAATGTAGAATAGCATGTTAGTCTCAAACTGCTTAAGATTCAAGTCAGTGCTGCACTTCACTTATGCTGCAGCATAAAACATTGCAACTTAGGTGTGGAGGTCAAGTCATGGAATAGTTTTCAGCTGATTTACATCCCATTGTAAGCTGGTCCTCCTCCACCTTCGGGGACGACCCAGTTAATGTTCTGGCTTGGGTCCTTGATATCACATGTTTTGCAGTGGACACAGTTCTGAGCGTTTATCTGCAGTCTTGATCCTTCTCCCGTTTCCAGAGGAATATATTCATAAACTCCTGGGAAGAGGAAAAGAGTGGTATCACTTCACTAAATAGTTTCCCCATGCACATATGCTCTACTACTCCTTAACACTGTGTGTAAGGAGAGGAGTTGAATAAATTCCCACCTCCACGGGAGCTCTTCTGCAGGAGGAGAGCTGGGACAGACAGCAAACTTGCGGCATGTACTAAGCCACACAGAATAACTCTACAGTACTTTGCCTTTTATCTTGCAAAATTGACTCAGACTCGCTTCATTTTTATTACCTACCTGCTGGACAAAATCGTTGTTCTGGTCCATCGAATATAGCCAAGTTTTTGTTCACAGGGACGCTGTCATCCTTTAGGGTTAAATGAGCAGGCTGGTCGTGTTCATGATTTGTACCACTTAAGGCCACAGATGATAGGAGATCAAAACTGATTTTTCCGTCAGGCTTTGGATACTCAATAGGTGTGCAGTCTTTGGCTGGCTTGAGCTGAGCAAAATCTGGTCCTAAATACAGTTTTGGTAAATAAATGTGTTGCAGAATTAATATAATTTGTACTACTCAGCTAGAATTGAATTAAGCAATTTGACTTGTCTTGCTGTTACCATTGGTGTGATGAAGTTACTTACAAAAGCAGGTGGTCTTTTTCATGAGACAAAACTAAAAGTAGACCACTACTCTAATGTGTTCATTTATTATACTAAGCAATATGTATATCAGTTATCATTATTTCTTTACTACATTATGAGACTTCTCTGCCTGAATATTGACCAGATCTGTTCTAGCTTCAACCTCACCCAGAAGGGACTTACAGAGATACTTGGTATCTTTCAAAAGATAATAGAAATAATTACCTGGGTGTTTTAATGTCCATGGCTCCATTCCTCTGAGGATCCAATAAAACACACCCGTGTAGAGCATTCCTCCATACAAACCAAGGGCGGTGTGGCAGGATGGGCGGATGTTTCTAACTGAATAGAGCTCTTTCCAAACCCAGGACTTCTTCAGGTTCTCTTCATATTCTTGCACGTGAAGTCCTAATGCAACACAGGRCTGTTAGGTACTTACAGCACAGAAACACTATCATTGAAATAAAAAATAAATGCTGAGTAAAGAATTGTTAGCAATGAAGGCAGCAAAATAATTTCCAAGTGGCAAACTGAATATATAGTTAGACTACTTATTTGAACCTCTTTACATAATCTGTTTTCACTGGCATTTACCAATAGATACCCGCTCCCTTGTTGCCTCTACTACATAAGCCACTGGAAGCACTGAACTGCCTCAATTTAGCACGTGACAAAGGAAACAGATAAGGTGGGAATAGGGACACCTCTATGGGAAAACGGCTGCTTGCTGGTAGAATCTACAGCCCTGTTTTTCAGTACTAGAGTTACCACATTCAACAGATTTGCTTTACAAGCTATGCAGCCACCATCATTCTGCTTTCACTAATGATGATCATGACCCAAAAGGAGAACTTCAGTGCTACAGATTGTGGTTTTTTTTTCCTCTGCCATTTCTAAGCAGCAAGATAATACGAAAGATCTCCCACCAAAAGCTTGCGACTGGTTTTCATTCTTTGATCACAGTCTTTCTGTGTGTTACAAACATTGCACACTCCACAGATGACTGAGTGCACAGTTATACTGCAGTGTAATTAAATCAGAGTAATTACGTTTATTAAAAAAAGGMCTTCAAATGAAATTTGAGACTATGAAATTTGTCTATACCTGAAAACATGTTTCAGTCTGTATTTGCTACTTCATCTAAGGGTTTGAAAAAACTCATTACCTTTGCATAGAGAGGTTGTGCTTTGGTAGCTCAGTTGTGCTCTACTGTCTTGACAAAACTGGTACCAGTTTATAAAACCTGTCCATAATCAAACATGGACAGTGCACTAACCTGGTGAGACTTCATTATTTTAAGTGGGCTGTAGGCATATTGCCTGGCTATACTAGACTGCAAGTTTTAATTGTTTAGCATAGCCCAGCACATTGCATGGTTTAATTGACCAAAAACTCTCTGTAGGGATGAATCCAACAGCACAGAGACTTCCAAATCATGATCACGTGGCACCTGGCTGTAGCAGTCAATGAAATTCCGGTTGGGTCACCTCTCTGTTCAGCTTTTGTCAGAGTCAAGGCAATGAGCAAGGATTAAATAACCACTACAGTGCAGTCAGGATCAGGTGGTTACTAGAATGTGTTTGAATCACATACAACAGGAAATACACACTAGTCTTACAGTGAGAGGCTTTCTAAAGTAAAGGGGAAAAAGACATCTTCCTAGTACAATTAAGAAAATCATGTGTGATTTTTCAAGTTTACTTCTCACTTCTTTGTTTACATTTCATTTTACTTAGAATTCTTTGCCTTCTGATTCTGCAGGCTTTCTGGATCATAAAACAAAAGCACTAATTTTTAAACACACTTTCAGGGACAAGTCATGTAGTCTGTTTATTATACAGGAAGTGTAAGCTTATTTTTGGATGTTCTTTAAAGCTTTTGTTCTACCACTAGCACTAGTGCTTCCCAGTAACCAAGAAGAACTGTGAAATTTGCTTCTTTCTTAAAACAGCCTATATCTATTTTGAAACCACCACAGTTGTGATTTATTGTTATTTCCAACTAATTCCTTCATACATGTTTAGTTACAGCTAAGCAGTTGGTGCTTCCAGGTGAGCACAGGCTACGTTACAGATGAAAGTGCAGCCATCTTACCTAGAGTCTTTGACTGGAGATTTTCCTTGGTTAACTGGTTGAAGATGGCCTCAGACGCCAGGATGCCACTCTTCATTGCCGTATGTGTCCCTTTAATCTTGGGAACATTCATGAGTCCAGGACTGCAACCAATTAATAATCCACCTGGGAAGGTGAGTTTGGGTATYGACTGAAAAGGAAGTAGAAAGGAAAGTTTGTCTTTTTTGAAAAGAAAAATCATTCTGGAAATCAAACTGGCATAAGACTTGAGTGCCATTAATATTTTTGATGTGGCCTATCTAAAATTATTCCGGAACGTCTTTACTTAAGCATGAGTAATCTTGGTGTAGTAAGCAAGCAAGAGTTCAGACAGTTTCCCCCCAGCCAATCTCACTTTTAGCATCACCCAAGAAATCTATTCTTGTGATAAATAATTCTCTTTGCTCCTAGAATGGGAGCAATGTGACTGAATACTGTCACCTCCCCATAGGGTGTAGGAGAGGAATAAGTCTCTCAAAAGAGGACTTGCAAATGTCATAAATGTCATTATTTTAGTATACTACACTCCTATATTAAGTATAGAATACCTTAACTATCARGGTAGTTACTCTCATCAAATGAGATAACAAAGGAGATTTTATAAAGAAGCAGTAGCTTCAGCAAGAGACTGCAAACCAAACAGAAAAGCCACCTCTGTACAGCCTACAGAGGTGCAAGGAGAAAGCTTTGATTAAATCTAAATTTCAACTCACTTTTGAATAGCTTTTTATAACTTCTTTTTTTAAATCTTTTTGATGAAATAAAACTACTTTTTAGGATTAAAATATTTATCCTGGGGGTTCAAGTTACTCTAAAACATATGCTCAGTTTCTTCTGTTTGTGCAGTTGGCAAGTTCACTTGCAAGTACCTGCTCGTTACACACATATGGCTACTTTTGAATATCCATATAGTAGTTGCTTAAGCAAATTACACTACATACTCTTCTCCYTACATTTTAAACAATTCACTCAATTACACAGATTTAATGATTTTGTTCATAATAAAAAAAAAAGTCTAAAAATGTAACTACAGCTTTTAAGTTAATTTCTGATCAAAAGTCAGAACTGATATAACAGAGGTTGCATAGGTATTTCTGAATTTCAATTCTGAATTTCTAATTCTGCAATCTTAATAAAAATAACAGCTATGTAGATGTAGTCCATGAAAGGCTGTGCCACCTCTTTCCACAAGCTCAAAAACTACAAAAACAAGAAAGCATCTAAGGACATTCTATGGTCAATAGCCTAAGTCAATGGTACATCTGTTTCAAGCAATACTGACATCAAAGTTTAAAAACAATTAATGATACAGAACCACTTTCCTAAGAAAATAAGCCTGTACTCTCATGATACAAGTGAGASAAACATTTGTTTTCACGCTCAAGTGATGCACACTTAAGTGATTCATCAATAAGGCATTTTTACTGGAGGTTTGTGCAGRAAAGCTACTTAATAGGGCAACTTCATGATCAACTTACTGTTAGCTGGACAGAACTTAAGTCCAGCAAGTCTCAGCAGTCAGTCTGCAACAAGATGAGGAGACTTTTCTGCCCAGTGAAGCTTTTGTCCCTATTCCTCTTCATTTCCTGACAGTACATAGCTGGAACTCACTGCAAGACAAACGTGGCTACCCAACACTAAAAGTAAAGAACGTCACAGTAGAATTACCTGGAAACCACCTTCATTCAAAGCTCTGGCACCATAGGCAATCCTTTTTCCACCCTCCAAAGTCGGCTGTACGCTGGGATGGTGCTTCCACCTCTGAAACTCCCTAAATGGATTCAAATAGGGATTTTGATAATCTAAGCCAACCTTAAAAAAAAAAAAAATAGAATTTAAAAAATTAAATGCAAACCACTGGAAATAAAGTATGAAATTTCAATCAAGTTGGAAAAGAAAACAATTGTGTATTACCACATCGACACTTCAAATTTATTTCACATTAAACTAACCTCAGGATGTTTCTACTTAAAGAACTACTGCCAAAAATACTTTCTATCAACTCTACAGTAGAAGCAAGCCTGAGAATTTTGACTTACCTACCCAAAACCTAAATGAAGAATGGAAAGTATTTAATTGCACTGTAACCGCCTTCCGTCAGTCTTTGAAATAAAACAGTGAAATTACATTAAAAATGGTTTAGTGGGGAGAATAAGTGAGAAAACTTATTTTAAATTTGTATTCAAAAACTGTTTGTTCTAGACAAGCAGGAGAAGAGAGGTAAACAATTACTTCTAGGTAGTTATGTCCTTGCACTAGGGTATTTTGAACAGTTCTTCACATGATTTAGCTGAGTCACAACTTTAAATTACAAGAACCATTCCTACAAAGCACYGGAGTGCAATGAGGTAAACAGAAACTGGGGAGAGAGGGTGAAAAAGAAGACTATTATTCCAGCTGGCTGCATGCCCAGGGTTCACATTTCATTTGAGAACTTGCCTAAAGACACACTGCAGCTTCCATCTGTAATATATATTTAAAGAACTTTTGTTGCTGAATTTTCTCTTTTATCAAAAGGAATTATTTCTGGCTCCTTTAAGCTTTGAGACAATTGACAACGTATCTCAAGAGCCAGCAACACACAGTAGCTTGCTTTCTCTAGACACTCRATGCTCTCAGGAACTGGACCTGCTTTTCTCGCTAGATTTCATAATGGGGTTTTCAAAATAAATGTAAGATAATACTATTCTAAGATTCAGCTGAGACATGACAAAAGTATAAAGTTCAACAACAAAAAGTGTTGTATGTGCACAAAAAAGTTGTGTTTTCTCCTATTTGAACAGGARATATGAACATTGCAGATTAGCTTTCTAAGAATCAAATCCTTCTACCCATCTAGAAAGCAAACAAAATGGGAATATCTAACATCTATATTTATTAATGGCAATATTGAAAATTTGCCCAGGACAAGTATGTGTGTCTGAGAAGAAAAATAAAAGTTTACTAAATCTTGAATCTTTCTGAAATCTAAGTCCACAAATATTCACTCAAAGTCTCATGCTTCTGAAAGTCCAGGTCATTTTCCTGACTGTCAAAGCATTCTGTAAAGCACACACACAAAATAAATAGTGCATGCTTCATTCAGGGCTGCAGATGCCAGAAAAACAGCTCCTACTATTGCTCCTCACATCACTGTCTGCCTGAAGGAGACAGTCACTAGTGATCCCAATGCTTCTCCTGACAAAGAGGCAACAGGAATGAAGCAGCAGCTTGTCCAACTCAAACAGTTGCTAAGGAAGGCCAAGAGAATGGGAGAAAAAGGATAGGAGACTGAAAAGTTCAGAAATTGAAGGAATGGTGCAATGATGCTTGTGGAACTGCAGCGAGTTTTCACTTACATTCTTGTCCTCTCCCCAGATATGTATTCTAGGTTAACACACGAAGAGGGAACTGAATTAAGGTTATGTGAAGTAACTTTTGAGTATTCTGCATAAATTTTCAAGCATAATTTTGGTTAATGAACTGCTTTTGGCCTTATCATGTCTATAGGTTAAAATACATTTGATTTGCTAAAAGTGCCTTTATAATTTTGTTCTACCRGATTAAAGACAGATTAACAACAAATTAACCTTTCCTTATTTGGGAATAAGCACAAGGGAGAAAAGGTTAAGCACCAAACTTTCTCTGTTTCATTCTTGTGTTTTCATTTCACATTAAAACCAGAAAGAAACCGTAAAAATGAAGACTGAACAGAAAAGCTTTACTTACCACAAACCCAAGAGCAACTAAAGGTTCGCCCTCATTTAAGTGATAAAGAAAGGAKCCTCCATAAGTATGTCTGTCTAATGGCCAGCCGACAGTATGTTCTATTCTTCCTGGTTTCCACTTCTTTTCATCAATAGTCCATAACTGAAATGAAGATCACCAGAAACTATTTTAATAACTAAAGTAAGAGCCTGCTAATAACACAACAAAAGACAAACACATAATTAAGTACATAAGTAAAAAGACTACACAAATAATACTTTGAATGTGCTATGCTATCACTTAAGCTCATACAGCTAAAGATGAAGTAATGAATTGCAACTACTTCTGTTGTATTATCATTTAAGTATTTGCTATGAGTTCCCTTACTCRAAATGCTGTACATCAGAAAACCTGAGACTTCAGCACTAAACTCCAAACTTTATTTTAACCACAAGATCTTGTTTTYCATTGGTGATATCAATGAATAATTCTGCTAATGAATGCAGTGATTACATTGACCTTTTTCTTTAAGAAACTTTACTACAGCTTAACAGGATGGACAAGCTGATCTAAATATTTGCTGCCCCAAACAGCTTGTCCTCTGTCCACTCTCTCCTGCACAGCTCTACTACTCATCTGACCTAGAGAAATATCTTCATTTTTTGATAGTGTATCAACTTTCTGGTTATCAGACAAAATATTTCCTCACCACAGAGTTACAGTTCCAGCTGCAGGCTTGTGACACAAGGAGAGTGGAGCTATGCCGTTTAGGAGTCAAGCACCATTAGACCAGCTTAGGCATAGAGGGAATAGCTACGTACTATATAAATGGATTAAGGAGTGCATTTTTGAGCAASACTTGATTGCCCCCACTTACTGTGCTTTGGTTCGCATCGAAAACTAGCCATGAACTGGATTCCTTTCACATGAAACTAAACTGGAAGACAAGCTCCAGGAGCCCATCTAGAGCATCCAGTTGTAAATGGACAATGGGACCAGACTAGGCTAGTCTAAAGTAAAAATAACCCTGAAACGTGCACAGCATGAATGTGAGCTCATTGACACCAAGCATTCCACTTCACAGATCCATTGCTATTGGTCTGTACCATTTGCTAAAATAGTCATAGTGAAACCTCAGTCTCACCTGAAAACACAGGAACTCTATGGTGAAACTCTGCTTGAACTATGACTTAGGTTTTAAAAATTGTAAATAAGACCATGACATGCATGGCGACATTTCCAGAGTAGTTATTGGCAACAGTTCCAAAGTAGATGTTTCAGATAGTATGAATTGCCTCTTGGAAGAGCCCCATTCTCTCTCTCTTGCTCTCTGATGAATACATAGAGAGCCCATAAAAACCTTTTTTTTTTTTTTTTTTTTTTCCCTGACCAGGTGTCCTTTTCTCTCTTGCCACAAATTCCAATAAATATAAAATCAGGCAGCATGAATTCCTTGCCCATTTACTGAAACTGCTGAAATTAACTACAGGTAACAGATTTCACAATTGAAATTAATTTGGCATCAAGTAGCTAGCAGGGTGGATTCGCAGACAACATTACTTCTAGCCACAAGGGTATAAAAAGTACCTGAAATGAAACAGTTGAAACATTGTAAGTAGAAGTCTTCTTTGATAAACTCCAGAATATCAAAGATTCCAAAGTYTGAGAGTATAACTCTCAAAACTTATCATTCTAACCTTTTATAAACAGAAACAACTAGTGTATAGCTTTGCAATATCTTCTTCAGCTGTTACAATTGTGCAGAGGATACCTCTTTCAATCCAATGCCATAGCTCTGGGGTTGGCAGTTCTCCCTTAGGTTGTATTTCTTGTACAGCTGTTTGGCTAGATGTCCATGGCAACCTTCAGCAAAGATTGTGACTTTAGCGTGGAGTTCCAAGCCTCTTTCAAAAGTAGCCTGTAAAAGCAGAATATTTAATCAGCCATTTAGATCCGTGCCACACCAAACTCGCCACAAGAGCATCGAGGTCAGTAARCTGATTTTTCACCATCTTATGCCACTGCCCAGAACTTACAAACTATCACATGCTGTGGCTCTGATCCAACTGGCCTTCCCATCTAACTATGACACATTCCCAACAAGTCTTGTAAGGAGATCCCATTAGAGCAAGCAACACTACAGTTAATCATGACTCTTTTATTGACAAAGAATCCTTTCCAAATCAGGCAGATACTTAYATCTCATCAGCTTGTTTGCAGGTTACAAAGGAGCTCCAAGAGAACAAAGAATCTTAACCCATAACTTCACATTTTAAGTTCTGCTCATAAAAATCACATTATAATGAAGCCTTGTTACAGAAATGCACATGGGACAGAGGCTACACAGAAACACCAGGAAAACCTATATTACTAGCACTCTAAAATGAAATAATCCACTACACCTTAAAATAATGTTACTGTAACAAATATTCAGTATTAAATGTTAAAACACATACAAAAAAATTACTCTAGTATTATAGATCGGTACTGAACAATTTCTCCCCAAAATTTTCAGTGRAGGCAGTATCAGCTGATCTAATAAAATACCTGTTCATATACCTGCATGCTCACAAAAGTTTACAGCAGTGGTAGATTACTTATTTACAAGTTAAAGCAGCGAGTAGAAAGAGTGTTTATAATAGACGTTCTCACAGAAGAAAAAGGAATTTTTTTCTAGGTTTTGCAGAAGCTTTAAAAAAAACCTACAGCTTGGGGTCTTGACGCTGCAAATTAAATCAGCTTCTCACTGCTACAACAAAAGTATGCATTACTTGCACCTCCTAATGGAGAAAATGTATAGCTGAAGTGTGTGTGTATCCACATGCACACTCCTGAAGACAGGCAGTCTTGTMCAGTAGCCTTATTTTTCCATACCTTCAGTTCCTCCACCAACAGTTTGTTCTCTTAAAACAAGAATGAAACCTTTCTTGTCACTGCCTATCTCAATGGGGAAAATAACCCAGAAGCTTCTTAATGTGGAAATAAACTTGAAATTTTATKCAACTAGTAGAAAAGGCTTCATAAAGATAGTAAAATTTCAGACACATTTCAGACAGAATCCTGTAGTTGCAATCTCTGTAGTTAGCTACTTCTGTTGTTCTGAATTATTCTGAGGTGCTGGCTCTGCACAGGGAACCAACAGGCTTGCAATGGATTCTGGATCTCACTGAGGCAGCCGAAGTCCAACACTCTGGCCAGACCCAGCAAGCAAAGCTGCTTGGGCAGCCAGCAAACAGGTAGGAAGACTCAGYGTGTACCTTGCCCCAGCACTGCAGACAGACTGTCAACAAATGTGACAGCAGGGGTAAATGCCACAGAAAAATCAGCTAGAAAAATCTCTTAGGTGCTCCCCGTAACCAGTTGGATGATAGCTCTCCATGCCTTTCCTCTGGGAGCTCCTGGAACTCCTCCTTAGCTCCCTGAATGCACATACGCCAAAGCACCCTTGCAATTTGTCCTCCAAGTCACTCAGACAAGCCTCCTTTCTGCAAAGGCTTTTCCTACTGATTTCAGAAGCAGATTATGCTATTCTGAAACCAAAACTTCCACATGTCAAACCTCTGCATAAGTAGAGATGGAAGAACTGAATCCTTAAGACAGATATCGAGTTGCATAACTTCTCTCAGRATGCACCGAAGTTACTGATGACACCAGAAACAGACATATCAATTCCATAACTGAAGCTCTAGATATGGACAGAAAGGCTACTTACTTTAGGTGCTCCATCCTTCTGAATGCCTACATCATTCGTTGCAATCCCTTTCACACTACCATCTTCATGAAAAAGAACCTTTGGAAATATTGTAAGAAAAAAAAAAAAAGTTTTGTCATTTTAATCCATTAATTTAAAAAAAAAAAGAAAGCACGTTCATAACTTATAAGCATCAAGTCTTTCAGACATCTAATGGACAATATTATGCATTTGTTCAGGTACTCTGTGGTCCACTTGCCCTTTGTTGGATCTGGGCTGGGAATTTGGGATACTGAAGTATCTGAAAAAATAGATACTGAAGATACTGAAAAAAAAAAAAAAAAGTACACTTCTGTGAAGAGGAATCTTGTTAATGTACAAGTGCTAAGGGGTGAAGCAGGGTGCAGGACCTTGCCCATACACACTGATATTGTTGTTACCTCAGCAGCTGCATAGCCTGGATAGACTTCAACCCCCAAAGCTTCTGCCTGCTGGCCCAGCCAAGCAACCAAGTGTCCCAGGCGCACTATGTAATTTCCATGATTAACCATTGGAAGCCCTAGACAAAACAAAACAATGTACGTCAGATTTTGCATCCTTTGCTACAGTTTCACAACTGCGAAGACACAGTAGCATCACGTGTTATTACAGCCATACGGACCTTATCACTGTCTATTACCATATTGACATTGATACACACACACTTGGTGTCCTACAGGGAAACAAAATTGTTTAATTTGCGGAAAATGTGAAAAAGGCACCAAGTAAATAGCACTTCACCAAAGAGTTCTTCACTGAACTTTACCTGGGAGGATTGGCACTGGAATTCTATATTTCTTTGTTAAAATTCCAAATTTGTCTTCAGTTACAGGAGTATTAAGTGGAGCCTAGACAAAAAGAAAAAAAAATACTGAGCAATTTTTTCTTGTCAGAAAAAGATAAAATAAAAAATAAATCAAACTGTCATACTTCTTACAATAGAAAAGATAAACTATCCTAATGAAACAGCTATAAGGCAAGATTGAAGAGAGCTACTGAAGACTGTTTGAGGTCTTCCTACATACGCTTGTACTACATCACAAAAACCAGTGTACTGTGCATAATTTTCTGAGCATACGCAAAAATGCTGAGCAGAAGCAGCAAGTCTGACATTGCAAAGAATGCCTTATCTTACTGCCTATACACAGGCAGTGCCTATACACAGAACTCGGATTCTGCACAGAGGCAGCAAACCTGCACACATTTTGCATGTGCAGTAAAATTACTGTATAAAACAGCAAAGGCCACAATGTATTTTTCAGACATAAAAATTAGCACTGGTGGAAACAGACTAGAAAAAAAGATAATTTTTTGTTTGTTTGTTCTGCAAGCCACCACATTTTCAATGGAACAAGGGCATACAGGAATGAGCTGGATACAGAGTTAATCACAGCCAAGATTGTGATGGATTGTGATGTTTACACATCCATACATACCCCTCGCTCCTTCCAGTCTGGAAAAAGCTCTTCTAAGGACCGTGGCTCGAGACAAGCACCGGAAAGCGTGTGTCCTCCAATCTGAGAAGCTTTCTCCACCAGACAAACACGTATTTCTTTGCCGTGCTCCGTGGCTAACTGTTTGAGCCGAATAGCTGCAGAAAGACCCGCAGGGCCCCCTCCGACTATGACAACATCGGCCTCCTCTGCAAACCTTTCCATGTTTACTCCTTCAATGGGACAAAACACGATAAAACAAATGGGTTTCAGAATTTCTCTGCTCTCACTAAATCTCGCCTTGTGACATTGTTACTACACAGCTTGCGTAAAAGAAGGATAATTAAATAAGATGTTACAATACTTGCAAGAGGGTAGAAAGATGTTGGCATTTACTCAGTCTCTTCAAAATTAGCTCTTTGGCAGTGGTAAGAAGATATGCCATAAAAACATATTCAGCCTCTAAAAGTTGTAGTCAAGCATCAGCAATGTTAAAAGTTAGAGCATAGTGGCTTAGCTGTCTTGAGGACATTTTGTAAAACTTAAGGGAAGACATAAATAGAAGAAAATAAAAAGCCTTGCTCAGAATAAGTTATTTTACCCTAATTAATCAGACACAGTTCTGGAATTTGAGCTGTTAAAATTGCTGTAAACATAAGTTGGAATGGCCAGAGATAAATATATTCTTCTTATTTTGTCCCAAACACGTCACAGCGAGAGCAACTGAGAAAGTCAAAATACACAGACTCAAGTGAACTAAATCTTGTTGCGGTAACTATTGAAGTAAAAAACAATTATGTATTTTCTTGACATAGCTAGAATCAAGTTCAAATTTGACCTGATTTTACAGTGCTAAATACAGTAATATTTTACTTGGGATATTAGCACTGTACTTAACAAAACAGAATCTCTCAGGAAAAAAAAAAAAAAAAACATTACATTTCAGTGTTGTTAAAACTCAGCAATAACCATATAAAGAAGCCTTTAAAATGCATGTTATCCCTTACCTTCCCATCGTTTGTCTTTGTCCCGAGGGTGAATAGTATAATGTGTAGTTATGCGAGGCACTGGGGTAGCAGATGCATATCCTGCAGTATGCACTGATGGGAGGCAGTTTCCCTTTATCAGCTTTAAGGCACGAAAACACAGACATGCTGAAAAACAAACAAACAAACAAATAGATCCACCAAATCATTTGCTTCCCCAATTTTTCTATTTTTCAGAGACGAAAGTGTCACAACAAAAATGCACCTTAGAATGCTAAGAAAGGTCAAATGAAGATGGTGAATGCCTAGACAGATTTTTGATTTTTCAGTACCTACATTTTTTTTCTTTTTTTTTTTTTTGATATAAAATCACACATGCACCAAGTAGGCAGTTTTCCCTCTAAGTGAATACCACTCAGGGACCACGGACACCAGCCACGCAGTAAGTGTGACAGCTGACATACTATAGCATGCACGTACAAAGGGAAAAGACATTTTAAGTTYCTATTTCATTTTTAATGTCAAAAAGATTTATTGCAGACTAAACAGGCCTGAACAACTGCAGAGGAGACATGCAAGTTCATCCCTTTCGCTGTCTCAACTCATGTTCAGACACATGGCCTGGGCTGCTCATTCTTAGCAGCTGATCTCAGGTAAATGTCACGATCTATAGTAAAGGCCAASACTTAAATAAATACACCTTGGTAAGCTAGGAAGAAATACAGGTAGTCTTCACCTTTGCTACAGAAACTTTAATTATCGTCACAACAAACTAGCCACTCTCATTAGGCAAGTGGACCAGTATGTGAGTTTCAAATAAACAAAATAAGGCCAAAGGGTACCTCACATGCTTGTTCTGGTTTCCCACTCTCACAAAAATAAATAAATCAGGTTTTCGAGTTGGATATGATCTGTACTCAGAGAAGTAGTAACCACAGCACCAAAACTAGTTATGGTTACCAAGTTTGACCGGTGATGCACACTCAGGGGTATTTTTTCCATCATTACAGATTCCTTCAGTCCGATATAAGGGCAGAGGGGRAGAACATCACATTGAAAGGCAGTAACTCTGCAAAGCTGCACAAGCAAAACCCCCTCAYGCCGGGGCTGGTATGTTCTGCCGCCAGGGCTCCTTAACGAGCCGCTCCAGCACCCTCCACCACAACTGCAGGTGGCTGCCGAGGCTCTGCTCTCCGTACATGCCATAACAACCCATAAAGCACCATTTGCTGCTGTTTCTTAACAGCAGTTTTTGCATGTGACAAGTAKAGCAAAAGGGTTACTACTACTACAAGCAGTAAGTGTTTCTGATGGAGACTCAGAGGAGCCCTTGACCTGCAGCAGGACAGCTTCAAATAAGGCATGTGGGAACAAGCTACATACGTTACGTGCAGGATAGCACCTATAGCACACACTCGAACGCGATACCTCAGAGGTGTTAATTTGCGCGAGGCAGCCACAGAGCACGGTTAGATATACACTCACTATTTGGCAGAAATAAAGTGTAAAACTGAATAAACAAACAAACAAAGCTCGACTAGTCTGGACGCTGCAGGTGCCCCGGACAATTCCACCCTCCGAGGACACTTACACGAGCGGGGACCCCCCAAAGGGGGGGGACAAGCCCCAAACCTCCCCAGGGGCGATGCAGACGAGGTGGCCCTGGCCCTGGCCCCGGCCCCGCCGTTGCCGCCGCCGTTGCGGGGCGGCCGCGCCGGTGTCGCCACCGGCCGCGCCGACCTTTGCCCCAGTTCCCCGCCGCGCGGCGGTTGGAACAGCAGCGGCGGCGGCAGCCCCGCGTGTCCCGGCGCCCCGCGCTACCTCGGCTAGAGGACGAGCAGAGGGGCGGCAACATRGCGGCGGTAACGGCGGCTCCCGGTCGTGACCCCCGGGCTCGCCCCCGGCTCCCGTGCGCCCCGCCGCGCCTGCGCACTGCGCTGCTGCAGCGCGGCCCCGCCCCAACCCGCCCACCGCGGGGACTACAACTTCCAGCGGCCCCCGCGCGCTGCGCATGCGCCTGGCCGACTGCCTGGGAGCGCGGGAAGAGCCTCTCCCCTCCCGGCGTGCAGCGCGCGCAATCCCGAGCCAAGCGGGCGCTCGGTGCGCCRCACAGGGCACGCCGGGATGTGGGCGGGCCCTCCCGTGCAGCCCCGCGGGGCGGGGCGGCGCGGCCGTTGGCGCGGCCGTTGGGGCGCGCGGGGGCCGTTGCGGGCGGCGGAGAGGGACGATGTCTGAAGCGGGGCCGCTGCAGCCCGCGGCCCTGCCCTCGCGCTCGCCCGGCGCCGCGCCCCGCAGGAACCGCAGCTGGGGCAGGGCGGCGCGGCCGCCCGAGCACGCGCCGCGGGAGCCGCTGGAGGAGGTGGAGATGCAGATCGGCGACGTGAGTGAGGCCGCGGCCGGGCTCGGGGCCCGCGGCACCGGGATAACGGGGCAGGGGGGAACGGGTGGTGAAGGTGGGGCCGTCTGTGGGTGCGTGGGGACCCCGCCAGCTTCTCGCTCTGCCCTCCAGGCCGCCTTCTCGTTGACGAAGATCCTGGAGGCCACGTCCGCTGTATCGGCCCAAGTGGAGGAGCTTGCGACCAAATGCTCAGAAAACGCCAGGTTTCTCCGAACGTGGCGGGACCTGCTCAAGGAGGGCTACGATTCCCTGAAGCCCAGCGAGTAACGTCACCGTTGTGGAAAAGGCGGGAACCGCTGCTGCCCGCTGGGAGGGGAGTCATCCCACAGCGTTTTCCTCCTGCTGGCCCTGCCTTGTGACTTGACAGCTTGGCTGGGATCACACCGCGTTGCATGCTGATGTGTTACCGCACACTGTGCCTAGTGTTTTTTTAAACAACGTTTTTTAGCAATTTCCTGTGATGGTTTTATCTTGTTTTTCATCAGCTACTGCCCTTGAGCTAGAAGAGAGTTCTTTGGAAAATACTTGATAACTTGTATGTGTAAGAATACTATGTATAAGTTTCTGAGTGGAATAACTTTGTTTAGGGAGAGTAGTCAGTTGTAACTTTTAAGACTCTTCCTTTGCACTCAGGTAACCTCATCTGTGAAATAACTTTCCTTTTTACTAATATAAGGGAGATAAAGTTAACTTTTAAGGTACCTCTAGAACTCAGCAGTTGTGGGAAAGTGGTATCCAGTGAAGATACATTGCCATTTCACTGGACTAGAAGAAACTCTCTTAACCTCAGAGAAGCCTGTCAAAATAACTTCTCTGTCCTTCTATGCACACATTTTTTTTTTCAGGTTGAGGATGGGCTGATAGGGAGAGTGAAGTCTTAAGTGCTACAGATAAGTGACCCTATTCCCCAGCTCACTGTTGTGGGCAATATTGCAATACATTTCTTTAAAGCTGCATTTCTTTTACAAAGAATTCAATACTTGCAAACAATGTTACACCTGCCTTCTTGTAATAAGTACAAAGTGCCTTATGCAGGAACCATAAATATAGGTATAGTAGAAATGTAATTGTATTAGTTCCTATTAGGATGGATTATTTTGAAGTAGTAGTATAAGCTTCCTTCAGTGAGAAAAAGTCTGTGAATTGTATTCTTCCATCTTAAGGACAGCAACTTATTATGGTTTTGGCCTGTTGTATCACCTGCCTCAAGCAGTAATTTATTGATTAGAGTAGGCATTAGATTAAGCAGGACCAGAAAGATGCCTGACCTGTAGTACATGGCTGCTCTGAAATGTCTGTACTCCTGCGCAGAGCACTGTGAAAAAACAATGCTGAAATGCAAGGGGAAGCTTCAGTAGACTGGGGCTGTACTTGTTGTGAGCCTAAGTTTCAGTGGTAGAAAGATTTTAAAAGACAAACTGTAGTTTTTTTTTTTTTTTAAACAAGAATAAAGAAGTTACAACAAGTTTTGAATTAACTAACAGTCTAAGGTTACTTATAGGAACACAACAACCTCCCCACACACGCACACAGAATATATACATAAATAAAAAAYGAGAAGTGAAAAAGACAAGTGTTCTTATATTCTTTATAAAAAGCAGCTTTGGTCACCAAATATGTTGACCTCCACTGGTAATCAAAAGGATGTTCTTTATGGCAGGATTTCAGTGGGCCATTTTTTTTTCAGTAACCTAAAAYTTTGCTAAACAATTTGCAGAAGAAGCCACGTTGATCGGCAGATCATCCTTTATTTCAATAAAACATACAGCAGTGGAAACAAGATGTTCAACAACTTCTGATTTTAAGATAATGCAAAATACTGTAAACATTTAAAGTGTGAGTCACACTAAAATTGAATTCTACTTCTTACATATTTAAGAAGTTAAGTGCAAACATCRAAGTATCTTTTAAGCGTGTTTTAAAAAGCTTTAAAATCCCCACTGCAAGAGAGGCATTTCTCTTATCTTGGGCTTCTAGGTCACTGGACTGAGAGTGCAGTATTAGAGGAACCATAAGGAAGTCAGAGGAATTTGTAATGGAAAAATATTCTCTCGAGCAAATATATGTGAAGAAACTGCCACTACCTGATCCTCACACCTAGCATAAAATCTTTATACACAGAAAGGTAAAATGACTTTTACATTTGCAACACGAGGAGTACAGTAATACTCAGAGTGCTGAAGGCTGTGCTCTCTAAATTATTTTAACCATAATGCATGTAATTAGATGCACAAGGTGATTAAGACTTAGATGGCAGGATACCTATTAAGACTGATACTCCTCAAGTGCTCTTGGAGAGGAAGAGGGATTAAGACAGACTTTTCAGCCTGGTCAAGGATGAGTTGTCAGGAACTATTGCAAGATGGTCAAATTATTTTCCTATCAGTTTTACCTGCAAGTAGGCACATGGATCCATCTTCTTCCCGCTCTGACTTCTGGTTCTGGTGATTCACCGTGTCCACTCCTTTCTTTTCCACATTGCTGTAAAGCAGTAAATCTGCATCCGTGAAGGTAACAGGGCAGATGTCACTGGGAAGGTTCACAGGGTATTTATGTGCATGAGTTTAGTCGGTGTGACTGTGTAGTCACTGATGCTTCAGAGGAGTCTGTACAAAGAACAGGCTTCGAAAGCTTTGGTTTGATTTCATGCACTGGCCACATCTCTACCCAAATGAAAGATGGACCATATGTTTTCTGACTGCGTTTGCTTCTTTTGGATCTTCTTTGTCTGTAATTGTACCAGACCTGATGAATCATTTCTTTGAAAGGTCGTGTAGTCAGAGTGTAGAGAAGAGGATTCAGAGCACTATTTATTGGCAGTATAAAAATCACCACCCAAGAAGTTATGGTACCTTAAGGAGGGAGAGAAAAAAAATGAAGGCAGTAATAGATAGTAGTACTTGTACCCATCCATCAGTACGAGCACTTCACACTGCTGAGGTGCAGCTTCCTTTTAAAAGCTGCAGTCTGGAAGCGCGTGGGGTCCTGCGCTGCTGGGCTGAGCCCTTGACACTGTTGTGACAGTCACAACCCCATCCTCTAACTGCTTCTCAGGAGGTACTGCCCTTCCGTGTTTCAAGGGCTTCCCGTGAATCCTGATGATTTTTTTTTCCCAGCAGTTCCATTTGCCTCCCACCATTTTAGGACTTTTGTAACAAGGCTCCCTACTTCCTGAGCATATTTTTTGTTCTGGTTGAGCTGCATTTACTTGCCCCACATCTGTTTGTATCCACTTAGCTCCCTATCTCTTCCTGTGATCTCCATTCCCCAAGTGAATCATCATTGCCATGTTGTCCATGTGGTCCTGTCCAAAGCAGTCTCTTCCCATGCCTTTTCCCTCAGAACTTGTTTGTGCTCATCTACACCAGGAGCTCTCCACTCCTTCCAATGCAAAGTGCAGTGAGCACATCCCTATTTTTCCTTCTTGCTCTCCTGGTATCCCCCTTTCTACCTTCTTCCTATGCCAAGGTTTCTTGTCCTCTGCTGCCCACACCACGGTGTAATTTTCCCTGCCCAGGAGGTAAGTCAGCTCATTAGTCCGACCCTAATTAGTCTGAGGGGCAGACTAAAAGTCAAGTCTTTTAAGGGTTGGATAACTTCACAACAAAGCATTCTGGAAGATTTTGTATAACGAAAACACTTTGTACTTGATCATCATAACCCAGATATTTCATAACTTTCATGAAAGTCAAAAATTTCAAAAGATAATCCCACAGCTCAAGCACTTTCTCACCGAATTGCTTGTGATACAAGTGTATGTGCGCGCATATATATATATACACACACACAAATGTAAATTATATATAATTTTATGTATATTTATAATATATATAGGTTTATGTATATTTATAATATATATAGGTTTATGTATATTTATAATATATATAGGTTTATATATAATATATATAGGTTTGTGTATATAGATATATATATGCACACACATATGTAGATAAATTCACACAGTAGTCCGACACTGTTGCTAGTACCACTGTTCATAATAACATGATCTTTCCCAAAGCATTTACAAGCCCTACTTAAGGAGTCTGTTTTCCTAGCATTTCCTGTTACTGCAAAGAAAGGAAAATACAAGGCTTCATTTTTTATCTTTTAAGACTATGAAGGCTAAACTTAAGGCTATTCACACACAGGAATTTATTCACAGCATAAGAAAATACTTTAATAAAACTGCCTTACATAACAGATGTTTTCAGCTATAAGCGTCACTTGTGCTTGAATTATATTCAGGTAGCAGAACCACCAAAAGCCTTGAAGCACTAAAACCCAACAACTTCAAACATGGTTTTCAAACACATGCTGTACATTTTATACATACCTTACAGAGACAGACTTTCAAGATTTGATCTCTTGGCTGACTCTAATGAAGGTGACCAGTCTTTGATGATTACACTAATATATTTCAGTGCAGTAATATAATGGGCTATATAGTTCATTATAGTGTGTATGTGGATTATAGAGAGATACATAGTGTACATTTCATTGTAGCAATGCAGTTCAATGCATTCAATTATTCTTCTAAATTAAGAATTATTGGCTCAAAGTGCACAAAAGCAGGAGCTTACCTGGGATGTCTACTTGAAGCAGAGAAAGGAGTTTCAAAATAAAAATGGGTATCCAGCATAGTGCATCAGTAAACACAATGAAGAAGAAACGTTTAGCAAGAGTCATTTCTTTTTTAATGTGATTCCGAATTTCAGTAGCCGTAATAGCTGTCTGGTGAACGCTGTARAACATACTTCCATAGGAAAACACAATGATGATGAAAGCTGCCAAGTTTACACCTGTTCAAGAAGTTGAAATTAGTTTTATTATTTGAAAGCATGATAGCTTACTTCTTTGTGTGTCGGGGAACATTAGAGGTATCTTTTGTCTAAACTGTTAGTCCATGAAATAAGTGGCCAAACAATCTGAGTCTGTCTTCACTCAGAACACTGAACACTTTACTCAAATATATATATTAATTATCATAATTTGATTAACAGCTGCCATCAGAGCCAAATTCCATAGTTTCCTAGTCTTAATATTTCCTCACCTCCCTGACAAAATCTATTTATTCAGGTTCTTGATGGATCTAACTTCTACTTTCTGAGCACTTTATGGGTTTTAAGATATGTAAATATCTAATATGAAATATTCAGGCTGGAAAAAGTCTGTAACTGCCTACAGGAGCATCTAAATATGAATTGTGAACATCATGCACACATTAAAAAAAAGCTGCCTTACTTGCTTAAAAACTAGGCTCATTATAGCTGTAATTGTTGTAAAGAAGAAAAGTAACTTACCTAAAAAAATGACAACAGAATAAATCTGACTTCCTGAACTTTCTGATTGTTCTGAGTGAAGAGGAAAACAGACGCCATTGGTGCCATAGTAGTTCCTGAAAAATTCCTTATTGCTCAGTGGAATAAAGGCAACAGCAAACCCAATTATCCAGATAAGAATCAAAACGGAAATTGTCCTGCATTTTCTGGGCTTCAAACACCTAAAAGGATAAACTATGCAGATGTATTTTTCCAAAGTCAGGTAAGTCAATAGTAAAACTGACACCTCTGTAGACAGAATAGCCAGCGATCCCACCAACTGACAATGAATACTGTCCATCCATAACTGAGCGTGCTTGTTGTATTCTCCACGATATTTAAGATCAAAAGCTCCAATCACAAATAAATATATTCCCATCAGACAGTCAGCACCTGTGGGCATAGTGCTTAACATCATTATTTACACATCTGAATTTTCCATGCTCTTTGTGTATATGTATATTGAAACACAGACATACAAACACGTACATATGAATGTATAGTTACAAGTGTCAGCTAATGGGTAGATAGATATAAAATCAATATTATGGTTAGAATGATTTTGAGATTTACAATTAAGGCAGTATAAGTTCTTTCCATTTTTGTTATTTTTTTTCTTTGAATTTTCATCTGTTGGACTGAATTTCTGACTTTCATACGTTTCCAAGACTACTTTTTAAAGGTCAAATCTGTGTATTTTTACTTCTGTCAAAGAGAAAAAAAGACACTTTTTGAATAGGTCTCCTTTTGACATTGCCTTTTGGCTTGTAGATAGTTTGCTCTGAATAGAGAAACTGCCAGATTCAGAGGTTGATTTTGATTTGTCCATGTTCAATCTTTCCAAAATAACATGYAAATCATCTTTTAGCAAGGCTTGAAAGTACACAGCAAACCTGGTAGGCTCCAAACCCTCTTCTCATTAGCTTARTAGTGAAAGGCGGGATGCAAAGGGAAGCTCCTGGGCCCATCTGAGTAAGGCCACAGGGATCACTTTGAGCATTAGCATGACTGTTACTGGTGTAAATCCTACATGTTCAGACATTTGCCTGATTCCCCCTGAAAATGATGATGTTGGCTTAAAAATTACAGGCTTAAGAGATGATAAATTTGGAGATCTGCTAAATTTCTAGGCATTAATGATGCATTTGCGTCTCATTTTCAAGTCTTCTGCAACTAGAAGGACAATAAGCCTTTCTTGCTTTTTTTAGGTATCTTGGAATATCATAATTTCTCTTTTTATCTTCTAGTCTGTTTTGTATGAGCTCTCTAAGCAAAGCTTGATTAGCATTTCTGTCATACTAGCCCTGGGAAGTAGAGAGGATCTGTCAGCACAGACTCAAAGGCTTCTCACATATTTTTGATAGAAATTTTCAGTGGTGTTTAGACTTTTGGCTCCAATGGTTAAAGAAGCCAACAAGCTTTCAAAATTATGAGCATACTGTATTCAGAAATGGTGCAATTTTATTTTATACACGGTGGTTATTTAACTTTCAAAATGTGACTAAATCAATTTGTGAAATATGTAAGTTTAGACAGACATCCTTGTATACAAACTAAGCCCAGAGTACTTGGGTTTAACATGACTGCACTCTCAGTTGGTTCATCCATCAGACCGCCTTGCTTTTAGGACTAAACTAAGAAACATAAGGATAAATATTGGAGAGCTGAGAGCGATTGATTTTCTATATTTGCACACAACTATTTGTTCACGCAAAAAGAAGTATAACTATCTGAACATGAATTATATTTACACACACAAATTTGTATTTATTCACAACTATATAGTAAAATCTAGATTAATGGCCCTTTGAAACATTTGGAATTTTATCTCCTCTTGCTGAAGAAAATGGGAATTTGACCCAGTGTCCTCAGCAGCAAAACCAGACACAAAATCTTTGGAATTTACCACCTGGTTATTGTTTCTGAACAGAGACATTATCTAACAAGACTTCACAGTGCGGAAGACAGAGCATTCTGCATTGTCATTCCCTGTGAAAATGCCAAGTCACAGKGGGAATACTCACAGCAGAGGGACATTATGGAGATGGCATGCAGCTTATTCTCCGATCTGATGTAAGGCCTCATACAGATAACGAAAATATTTCCAAAGCAAGTGATGGCAGATACAACCCAGACAAACACTCTCTGTATAATGCTGGCTAAGAGGTTCTCGAGGGAGGAAATCCCATCAGTGTTAGGCTTGCAGCTGCGTACATGAGGAGCATATCCACAGTACTGAAATTTCTTGAAATATCTAGTTATGAGGGAAAGAAAAGAAAAAGAGAGCGTTTTAGTTTGGTTTCTAAGAAAGCAAGATGTCTAACAACTTTTTAGAAAAGAAATAAAATGCCCGTATTCTGAAAGAAGAAAAACTAATTAATTAAAAAAAAATCGCCAAGTTTCAATTTGGATGATTTTTGATTCATCCATTTTTGTTTTTATTTATTCAATATTTTGTAAATTGTAAAACTTAAAGAAAGCTACTCACATGTGGGAAAGGTTTTTAAGCGGTCTGAACATTCTTCTCTGAATGTTTCCAATTTCAATGCCCTCTAAGCTGCTGTAAAAAACACACTCTCAATAAAAATGCAATACAAACTCAGTAGTTAAACAACAAGCTTACTGAGCATTTAATTGTGTTCCTATAATTATACGAAGACATGAAGTTCAGCTGCTTCTAACCTGTCATCTCTTCAAAATATAAATGGGAAATCTACATAAAAGCTAAAATAAAAGCTAAATAAAATGAATTGCAGTTAATTCCAATAAACTCATAGTTCTGCCAAAAGCACAAAGAAGTCTCTTTTAGTGCTCTCAGTAGGACAATTTAACAATTATTATGTTGCCCTTCCAAAGTATTGATCTACTGATGTTCTTTCATCATCTCTGGAAAATAATAACTTGTTCCAATAGCAGTATTTCACATTTCTCCTCTTTCTGTAATCCCAGAGAGCACTTAACAAGACAAACAAGCCACTGCAGGAATTAACTTTTTATTGTGTCAAGAGCAGCAGGAAATTGGTACAGGGAACACTGCGTGCAAGGGCTTACTCACACCATACAGATGGGTTTACTTATTTTAGATTTTTTTTTAATATAAAAAATGCACTATTATTTTCTCTGCAGTGTCAGGTCAATGACATGTAATTGTATGTAAGAACAATGTAATTGTTCTTTAACAACTTGAGTTTTCTGGTCAATTGTATAAGCTAGAGTAATACAAATGCAAATAAAAAAATTTGGGTTGATAGGCAATCTTGCTAGGAGAAATAATGAGGCCTAAACATGGAAACCAGTGTGTTTTAGTCACGGATTGGAATAAATCTAGGGGAATGTTGTCCCAGCTACTCCTRTCTACTCAAACTGGTAAACAAGCAACAAGTGTTCTACAAATGGAGTACTGAACATAAAGATGTTTTGTTTCCTCTAGATCTATCTCTCAAGATTTATTGATTTTATTATCTTAGATATATGGAAACTCTTTTTCACCCAAGTGCATGGAATTTTGGTGATTAAGTAATAACTAATGTATAAGCTGCCTCCTGAACTGTTAGGGAGGTACTAAATTTATGTTAGAGCTGCTGTGTTAGCCTGCCCATTACAACTTCCCTTTGCTCTCATCAAAAAGATTTGTAGAAGGTCCACCCGCTCTGAACTGACAAATTTTACTTGATTTATATTACTCTTTTCATGACTTAAGCATCATTTTCTGTAAGAACTGAAATATACACCAGACTTATGCATATACCAAATTCCTTTCAAATTATTGTCTTTACATATTTCATTGATATCCGTCCCTGGTGCTAATAGCTTCAGTTAGGTGTTGTAGGACCCTTAAGTTGTATATTCAAGTTGTGCAAAGTTGAAAATGAGTTTTGAATTTGGCTGTTGTAATAACTTATCTATCTGTAGTACAGCTATCCTGCACTAATGACATAATTTGCTTTAGTCTTTCTGTGTAATGATGGAATAGATTGTCATTTGTAAAGATGGATTTATGATCCCTTTGCTTTGGAATGATTTCCAATGCAAGCTGGTATTTCAAGACAGAAAATGTGAATGTTATTAGTAGTTACTCTGCAGACTCAAATTCTTGAGCAACATCAAGAAATACAAAATATTCCAAATATAATTTCTTATAAAAAGTATTCTTTTATTAGTATTATGACTAACATCCTTCTGTTAAGAGATTTGCTTAATCATAAAGAAAATATAGATAAGATTYTTGTACATAAAAACTTGATACTTACAGTGATTTGAGTTTAATTAGAAAATCAAACTGGTCCATCTGTATTTTCTTGATTGGATTATAAGAAAGGTTCCTGTAAAAGCAGCATAAACGTAAGTATTTTTGTACATTTTCTTTACATCTTGTTCTAAGGTTAAGTCAACGTTCCATTTGAGTTTTCAGCCCTGCAGTAAGGAATCATGGTACTGGCAATTGCAACTGAAATAGTAATATTCACCTACTGTTCTTTGGTTTACACTAAGCCAGTGGAAAGACCAGCTTCAGGTTTTCAACTATAGAAATAYTTAATAATTAAACTTTTTTGACTTTGTTTTTTTTAGAGACTACAACTTTTTCCTCTTCCTTGCATTTCCTGTCCCCCCCCGAAGTGTGTATTTTGGGGCTGGACTTCCCAGGTTGAGCTTTTTCTTTTTCCCATTATGGGYTTTTCATTGCTAACCATTTCATCTATGTCTGCAAAGAGCTCAGACTTCCTGGGTTCTGCAGAGAAACCCTGGTTCTGATTCAACATGTAGGCTCCCTTATGTAAAACTGAATATCAGATAAGTATTTTTTAGACAGAGCTTAAATGAAAAAAAGATGTTTTTTTTCCTTCCAAGCATTCATGACCRAAATCATATTGAATAAGGAATATGCAATGACATACAATAATAATAATAACCAAATCCTTACAGTTGTGAAAGCTCCTTTAGATCCTTAAATATATATGGAGGAAGTGACTCAATCTTGTTGTTAGCTAGGTCTCTGTGGAAACAGCCATAGGTGGGATATAGTAAGTTTTTAGATTCAATAATTATACAGAAAAGTTTTATAATTTGAAGAGATATTTTCATTCCATTTACCAGGAGATTATTACATTGTTATACAGATCATCAGAAACTTGGACTATAAAAGAATAATGTTAAAACAGCAGATGGAAAACACAATCCATCAGAGTCCTCTTTACTTGATTAGTTCAGATAGGTCATTAGATGAAAAAAACTTATTATTACTGCATTTACATCCAAAAGAAGGAAAAATATTTTTAACTAGGGCTGCAAGAACCTGGAAAATTCTCTCACATCTCATCTGGGTTGGCCAGCACTACACCTCCTCCTTGATTCTGTTCTCTATCTTGATGCTGGTTTTCAYTGAACTTGAAAGATCTTAATAACTTTGGACAGAGAGTAGTAGAGGTCTCAGTCTGACTGCAATCGACAGACTTGTTCAAAAATACCAAAGGTGCATACAAAGGCAGAGTGATACATAATTAATATGACTTCATTCAGGAAGTATAACAGTCTTAAGAGAAAAAGAGCAATAGTATTGACATGTTGAGAATATGTATTTTATTGAATGTTTCTTCTTAAACATTTGGAATAAAGCTCAGGATGGATGTTATGTTCAGATTATAAGAAACAGAACTTACAGTAAATACATAAAATGTACAATTGTAAAATATAAGTCTTTGTCATGTCTATAAATAAGAGAAGAAATCAACTCACAATTCATCTAACATCCGGAGAGAAGAAAAGCTGTTTTCGTTTAAAGAGATGATTTTATTTCTTCTCATCACTCTGAAATGATATAAACAAACTTATATTGCTGCTTCTGGAAATCTGTTTGTTTTCTAAAGAAAATATGTGTAAAGTTTTAAAGTTTTATGATCACTCTTTTTTTATTATATTTTATTATCACATTTACTGTTTGCATCTTCAAGTATCTGCCTCATTAATTCAGAACTTTGATTTTTAATATACCTGCAAGGCAGTACAATGCTTGTAACTAGTAGTGTTTGAGAATTCAAGGTTGAGCACATGGTTGTGCAACCTTTCCTTCAACCTTCTTTCATGTGGCATTGTGCATGTTCCACAAATGTACCACCTGAATTTTATATACTAAATTTTATATACTATTTTATATACTGATTTTATATACTAAAGAGAAAGCCAGCTAGCCAAGCTTTTTAAAATGAAGAAGTGAGCTAAGGACTTTGTATGTGTAGTGACGTTTGCACACCTTTCTACGGGAGGATTATTGTCTTCTTTGGCAAATAAGGAATTAGAAAAAAAAATATATATATATATATAAAAATCTTCATGTCAGTCAAAAATCACCTCAGTAAAAGATTAATCACATATATCAATGCTGAAAATTGATACAAATGGTGGCTATTCTGTATTGTGTTCAATTAAAATTGAGCCTTAGGTCTATATATCTCTCTAAATATCTAATATCCTTGAAATCTATATATCACGCAATATTTAAGAAACCTTTATATTAGCTGTCACGGATAACTTGACTGTTGTTCAGCACCGATATATCTCATTAGGGTTGCCCAGTATGTGCTACTACTTACAGTACAGTTAGAGTGCTGCAGGAGATGAAAGTCACATTTCTTACGTAATGGATATGATTGCCCTCAAGATCTCTGTGGTATGAAAAACAAACAAGCAAAGAAGCAACAATAACAACAAAAAACACTGAAAATTATTTTTTTTAAACAATTCTTCTAAGATAAAAAAAAAATCTCACCAAAAGTTCAGGATGTCACAAAAGAATCATAGCCAGACATGTAGCTTTTCTACGCGCCTAGCTGATGACTCCAGGTCATCAATGCAATGCAGGGAGCCACTAGGTACTCTAACATCATCCCAGCCCTTCACTAGAGAAAGTGGCACTGAAATGCCATTCAAAGGCAACACAGTAATATTTTTTCTAGTGAAATAAAGGTAGACTTACAGCCAGTTTAGTCTTGGCAAGTATTGGCACAGAGGTTTATCAGGCAAACGAGCAAGAGAATTATTCATCATCACTCTGGAGAAGAGAAAAATAGCTGATCTGGCTATATTTGCTGAAAATAATATTACAGAAAAAATATGTCTCTATGTTTCTACTTTTTAATGTAAGGCAGTCACAGCTAGAATCACTTGTCATAGTTTTAGAGGTAGCTTTTCTTTTTAAACCTCCCTGGATTTTCTGTGGAATTCTTTCAAATGCTTGTTAACTACTAGGCTCATAGTTCACGATTGTGTCATAACCTGCAATTTCCATCAGTCACAGAGGAACAGAGCATTTAAGGGACCTTGCTCTCCTGGCCACAGTGGAATTGGGGCAGGAAAAGAGGCAGCCTATGGATGGGCTCCTGCAGCACGAGGTTTTGGCTGCCATTCCTTGTATCCCCTCCCACATCTCCTTGGCTCTGGGGGCAGCCCAGCACCCCTTCCACTGAGCTGCTGCTTCCTTATCCACTCGGAGACATAGATCTTCCTACGAATRAGTTCAGAGTTTGCCAGAGACATTGATCATAAATTCACTTTATCAGGTGCAGATTCACAGACATCCTGTCTAGTCTCCTAGACTTCAATAAGAGCAATTCTATTCCTGTTGATCTGGGTAGTTCATAGCTGCAATTGGATCCTTTATCCATGCAAAAAGGCCTGCAGTGATGGGCTCCCCAGAGCTGGCTACGTTTCTGAAGAATCTGTCACAAGAACTCTGAAGAATTCCACCAAAACAGCAAGCACTACCATGTGGGGAGTTTGAAATCTAAATTAAACTTAAATTTAAAGCATATTTTTAAATCTAGCTCTTCTTCCTGCTCTTTCAAGTGGCACTTTTGGCTTTTATTCCATACTTACAGAAGAATAAGCGATTTGAGCCCATAAAATGTTAGTGGAGAGATCCGATTGATCCTATTGTTTTCAATTATCCTACAAATTAGAGCAAAGCAAATCTCAGATTGACAAGGRATTATAGTCCTAAAATAAACAGTTGATTAAAAAAACCAACATGCTTGGAAGTGGCTTTCTTCAAGTACCCATTACTGGAAACAAACAAACAAACAAMAAAAAAACCCAAAACCCAAAAAAGGGTCTCATGTTCAAAAGCCCTACTTGAGGAAATAAATGTACTGCTCCACAGATCATCAGAGAATTCATCAAATTAATTCCCTTTCCAGCATAGTTTGAATAGTTCTGGACATATTTTAGCTTGTGTAATTACTTTCTATTAAAGTAAGCTATTTTCTTGACAGTTTTTAAAACACTTTTGATCAATGCTTTGAATAGATTCTGTGCAACACCAAAGCAGCTGTACACATAACAGCCTTCCAAGACAGTCTGCCTGTTGAAAATGCACAGAAATATCAAGTACTGTTTATTGGGAAAGACTTGTACAAAACTTCCATTTTTATTGTTTAGTGCAATCTGACTTATTTAGTAGTAGATGAGTTATTTCATGTATTATTTTGTAAGAAGCAGTTATTCCTAACAGCATTTGCTATTGTAAAATAAGTCACAGTCTTCTGGATCACAAAGGCTCAAGAACTAATCTGGTCTCCCATCAAAGTAAACTGTATTTTCTCTGCAGAGAGTGCAGTAGGAATTCTTTGGTTATTATCTAGCACAAAATAATGTTACCCACAAAAATCAAAGCAATATAAATACTTCTTTTTTTTGCCTTTAATTATTCCTTGAGAAAATAAACATACAAAGAAAACAACATACAGCCATTCTAACTTGTGGAGATCTTGAAAAACTCCAGGCTTCAAGCTGGTTATCTTGTTGTTACTCAGATATCTGAAACAAGATCAGCAACAGATGGAAAAGAGAACACAGGATTAGTATTAGTTAAGTGAAAATGAATTATATGTTTTTTTTTTCCTTTATAATTTACCATAGTGCTGATTTTTTTGATTATTGGGGTTTTTTTTTTTTTTTTTTTTGGAAAAAGAACCCCACTAAGTACAATAGAAAAAAAATGTGTTTCCAGTCTGTGTCTGTCTGTCAGAAAGCCAGTGCTTATGAGACAGAAAATGTACAGATGATCTTTCACAGACATGTCAAGCAAAGTAGGCATCTGTTTTGTATGTTTGTTTTCGTCTTATCTGTGGGGAAAAAAAAAATGACAGGCTAACTATCTTCACTGTGTTGTACTTTAGACCTGTTCCAGTTTACTTCTATGGAATGAAAAATTACAGAATTTTCCCTGGGAACAAATTCAGGTTTTGCTGAAGACATTCGTCATAAATTTAGACACCAGAACTGYTTACAAAGCAATTAAAAGTGATGCCGTATAAAGTCTGGGAATGTAGTAACAGATATAAAATCATCCACACCTATTGAAGAGAAAATGAAGATGCATAATAACATTTTTAAGCTATCTCTTTATAGCCRTTGCAAAAAGAAGTTGAACTTAACAACGCAGTTTATCTATCATCTCTTTCGCTGACCTAATTCCTTCAAAGTTTGAAATAAATTACATAAAGCTGCTGCAGAATTAAAAGATCTTCATTAATACTGTCTTGCTTTGGTTTGCTTCTCTTAACCAAAGTGAAGTTAAAGAAATTTTGTTCATCCCAAGCACTCATTTTTTTTGGTTTACTCCTTTTTCATTCTTACTGACTTAATGCAAGATGACCACCGTATTCTCTTCCTCTGAAATGCAGCAGATTTGTGGAATAGAAGTAAAACACGAAGCCATCTTGCATTTTCAAAGCACTTTCCTGCCAGATGAACGTGTCTGGATAGATATTGCACCTATAATTTGCAGTCTAACTTTGTTATCTCAATCAAACCGTTGAGCTAAAGGTTTGTACCATTTTGCAATTTCCTAATACTGAAATAAATAGGAAAAACAGCTCTAGCAACTTTCAAATCTGTTCCCATTGCTCTTTATTTCAATATTCTTGAAGCAGTACTTACAGCTTTGTCAAATTGTATAAACCTTTGAAAGCGCGTTCGGACACAGCTCTGATTTTATTGTTCTGAAGATACCTAAGAAGACACAGAAAMAACAATTAATTCTCTAAGCATGCAAAGGCAAAATAAGCATGAATAACCAATGAAAATCTATCAACTAAATTGAATTCACATGTGATAGTTGAAAAAATGCTGTCAAAATTGTTACATCTTAAATTCCACACTAAACACTTCACAGCGATAGTTGCAAAGCCTTCAAGTGTGCACTAAAAGAAGAAAAAACGGCAGGATTACAAAATTCATTCAAAGGTGTACTTATGTTACTAAAGAGGAGAAAAGGAATGATTTTAAAGCACCTCCTCCTTTAGGTCCTCAACCTATAGCCTTGTCTGTGTGATCACACATTTACGCTTAGCTGAAACCCCMTGTAGTCAGCAAAATGTTGTATGGTGAAGGTCAAATTTGCACTAGTTGTTGAAGYTGCTATTTATATTATCATTTTTTTGAAAGGCTACATGTTAAATTAATAAAATGTAAAATGGAACTTGATTTTCTGTTAAATAAAGGATACTAAACTGTTTCCCCTTCTGTTTTTTTTTCCAATTTGATGGACAATTAAGTTCCAACACATTATTAGCTACCAATGTTAAATCCTTTAAAAATATTAATATTTTGGCTTTTTCCTCTGAGAAATCTTTAAAATGCCAGTTTAAAGAGGAAAAACTAGAGAAATGTGACTTGCCCAAAATGCGATTGTGTCAAGCACTGCTCAAGCTAATAAAACGCTTTTAARTGAATATGATCCTTTGTGAACACAAGATGGAGCTGCAGTACAGTTTTCAGTGAAGTTAAGTCTATTTTTTTAGAATCCTTAAACCAGCTACAAAAGCACCTACTTTAGACTTCTGCCTTTAATTTCTTAATTGTGCCAATTCTATATAAACCAGGCTCATGAAGGCTATGAATTTTTGATCAAATCATAAAGCATACACTATTCTGACATAATTAATGACTTGTGCCTTTACTAAAGTTATTCCAAACATAATTAGGAATAAAACTAAGTGCCATGTAACTATGCTTCCCTGTGGCAATGGACAGCTTTTTCAAACTTAACAATTAACAGAATAAATGGGTTCAGTTACCTTCACTGATTGCAGCTTATTACTGCTTATTAATTTCCTTAAGACACAATGGAAGTTCATCTTTTTCTGGTATAAAATAATCAAGACAATAAAATTTAACATGTGGAAAGCATGATGTTATGAGTAGAGAGAAACCAGATTAAGCAATCTGAGGAAAGCAGTTTACACAATTACGAGATGGAATTAAGAGAAAGATAAAACAGAATTTTGAGAATAGTTCTGTGGAGTTTTGTCTGTCTTTTATCAAGGTCAAGGCATGGGTGTGTGAGAGAGAGAGAGACAGACAGAGAAAAAGATTATAATTAAGGAATTTCATAAAGATTTTAAGTTGAAAGATTCCCTTACAGATTTTGAAGGTCTTGGTATCTCTTGAAAATATCAGCAGAAAGTTTCCTAAGCAGATTCCACTGGAGAGACCTGTGGAAACAAACACACATAGTAGAACTATTCTGTCAGTATATTGAATTTGAGTTTATCCTGTCTGCTGTATGTCTAACAATTTCATGTAGTAAAATACATTTGCATAGTAAATTATAATAAATAAACAAATACATAGATAGAAAATTCTGCAATAAATTCAGTATTTCCAGAGAGGTTAGTTAGGTTAGTTTATTCAGGACTGTCTATGTGCGTTGTATATATCAAAGGCGACAGTGGCTATGCTGTTGGCTGTCAAATTCCATCCAATATGTTAAACCAAATCAAAACTGGCTGCRTTGATGAATGAAAATAAAAGAGATTCCCCTAGGGATGAATCTGGGTTAATGGATTAGGAGGAGACTGTGAAGAGAAGTGTGCCTCACCTATTGCTGCATATTTACAAGCAATTGTTGCCCCCACTTTCTTCTTTACATACAAATAGTTCCCTCTCTGTCCTCCCTATCCACATGATCCAAAATCACTATCTAATTTTAGTGGGGTGAAATCAAGGCTATCAGCTTTAGAACCAGGAGAGAATACTACACTGTTGACCAAAAATGTACCATGTGGCATATCGAGAAATTAATAGTTCCTACATCCCTGTGGAAAGGTAACAGATGGGTGGCAAGTCACACTGCATTTCTCAGGCAAAAGGCTTCTTTCAAAAATTCACTATTAACCAGTCAGCCCARAGGGCAGCAGGTGACTGATAGGAGAAAAACAGGATCTATCCCTGCAAATGCAGGGAGCTGCTCCTGTGGCACACTGCCCCGGAGGACATAGTGGACAGAAGATAACACCAGATAAAGACTCACCAGCATTTTCCAGGAAGTGTTTGGAGGACCCCATTCCCTGTTGATGATACAGCCTCACCTCCCTCCACTTACCCACCTTGCCACCTTCTCCCCTAGGGCAAAGAAAGTCTTGCAAACTGGTAGGGATAAGCTAAGAGCAATATCAGCTATTCCTTTTTTTTTTTTTTTTTTTTTTTTTTTTTTTTTTTTTTTTTTTTTTTTTTCTCTCTCTTCCCCCTCTTCCCCCAAATTTTACTTTATTCTTGTCTGTTGGATGACCCAGCCCATAGTAAGTCTTTCTAATAATGTCCTATTCAGAAGCATGGATTGAGAACTAAAAAGATTTGCTCAGACAGATTATTCCACAAAATTAAAGTTTAATAATTTCATTGGCAGAAATACAGAATATTGGTAGGACCACAGAATAATTAAAAAGTCCTGAGGCATTATATCTTAAAAGGAAACACTTCTCTAAGATTTCTTTAAATTCCATGGTTTTGTAGCTAATTCAGGCCATGGTTACAAATCTGAAATGACTATTTCACACAGAGTTGTTTTAACTCCTTTTCTCTCATTTTACATGCAGACAACCTGGATTTAAAGCCGCGAACGCCTGTCCACAGAGAGAGGCACCCGGCTTTCACAAACCCCAGTTGAGCCAGCTGGTGATAATTATAAGGCTGTAGCTGCAAAATGGTTGGAGAACTGATATTCAGCCCCGAGCAGACCAAAGCGAGCACTTTTCTGCTCTACTTACATCAGGGTTATATTTGAAGAGACGGAAGGGACAGCACGTAACTTGGCACGGTCACAGACGATCTCCAGCCCTTGGCACATACATTCAGCTGGCACAGGAGCAGCCACTGCKTGGGGACAAGAAAGTGGTTGTGGCAACAGGTAGGATGGGGGGGATATCATGAGGCAAACAGAAAAGGATATGGTGTAAAAGAGCAGTTAGCACAAAGACATCTAGACTGCATTAAACAGGAATTAAATCAAGTCTTGTCTTGTTATTACATAAGTGATTTAGACGTAGGGAGATCCTCGCAAAAGAACACAAAGGGGTAATGAAACAATTCTATTCCTTCCTGGTTTCTATAAAAGAAGACTTTGCAAAAGAGCTATAGACTTCATACGGGAATCTCATTTGGTAGGACCTGTTAGTTTGTTTTGAGATTTTGGAGACTCTTCTTCGGATTACTCAGTTTTCTTACATTTTACATGAGTGACCACAACTCTGTCAGGTTAAAACAGGATATCAATGGATCAGAAATTCTTCTGCACACTGTATTCCTCAGACTTGATTAGATCTAACTTAGTACTTAGAGTGGACAGAGTCAGAATGTCCAAGGAAGTGGGTTTTTTTAGTTATTTTTAAAAGGTTTTTAAACAATTGATGTGGGAAGAAGTCAATTTGAAGGGAGGTTGTTTTCAYTCTGAAATACGCCTGTTTCATAGTCTTTTTTTATATTCAGAAAAATATTTATATTACCCTTCTAATTGGCATATCTGATATTTCCTTTACAAAAACTGAGTTTCCACTTAAATGAGTTTCAGTGCATTCACTAGTCTAAGACATTCATTCTTCTTTACTATAAATGAAACTGTACCRTATTTCTATTTCTGATAGGCATATGTGGTATCAATTTTCTTTTGGAAATCATCAGCAACAGTCACAAAAATAATCCCTGTAATTACTCACAGCACTCAGGTGTCTTCGTCTGAAATGCATGCGGAGATTTCATTTTATTGTACCTGCCTTTTGCATAATGTTTATCAAATTGTACAGACCATCCATTGTTGTCTCCTAATTAAAAAAAAAAAATTAAAAATAGCACTTCAAAATATTTGCTAATGGTATAATGCAAAACAAGGCCTTCAGTAATTTTCACTGTAGGGCCCTTTGCTTCAGTTTTTACTGCCGTAACATGATTTTTACGGAACTTTTCATAGCATATTTAATGGCCTTCTCTTTAGTTGGCTGTCTAATCACTAATAGGTGCTGAGATTACAAACTATCTAATAGGATCAGTTTATTATATCTTCAACRATTCACTTTCTGCCACAGTTGCAACAAGAAAGCATACAAATTAAACTTCTATTTCCAAACGCAATCATCTTTCCTCCCCTTCCTAAGTATGTGGGTTTATTTACCACTCACATTATATTTCTTTTCCAGGAAAGCTTAAATGATTACTATGTCTTTTAGCACTTCTTTGACAGGGTGTTTCAACAATTACATCCTAATAGGTGAACAGTTATTTCATAACCAAATAAAGCCTTTGCTCAAAATCTAGATGCAGATCAAGCAAACAGCACTTCTAAAGAGAACATATGACACATAGCACTCAAATCATCAAGCTGAACTTGAGCTTAATAGGCATTTTCTTAAATAAAGCATTAGTTTGTATTACCAGCTAGGTCACTGTGCGTAGGTATAGTCCAGCATGGTATCTCATAGTAGCTCATAGCTCTGAAAGTGAAAAGAAAGTGAGGATCTTTCACTTCCTTCCCACTAACGGGGGCTTCTACTTATGGCGATGCTGGAAAACGCTACAGATCTTTTTCTTGGAGGACTATTATGCATCTGACATCTTTAAGCAGCTGATCATGTAACCACCTCTGAAACAGGAGAGGATTATACACCCTCACCACTGCACACACACAAAAAATACTTTCTAATATCACGTAGTCCAAAGCATTGGGGGTAATTTAAACTTACTTTCTAATGAAACTCCCTGCTGAACGTTTATATTATGAATCTGGAGAATGACTCGGCTTAGCCCTCTCCTCTGGACTGTCCTGTATTAGTTATACTTAAATACCATTCCTGTGGGCATTTTTCCATAAGCCTTTGTATTCAAGCAAGCATTGCTACGCTACCTATTAGTTTGGAAACCGGCAGAGGAAATAAAACACATTTACCTTGCCATGACATTTCCCCTTCTGATGTGACACGTATATCGTCACGGTATATTACAATTCAGTAGCTCTCAGCTGGGCACAGAAACTGCTCTGCCCTGGGGGCATCTCCCCCAGGCTGCCAGTGCTGGCTCAGCAGGTGGGGCTGTTGAGGGACCTGCTGCTCTGCTGCCCACACCGAAAGGATGCACGCTGTATATACGTGCTGTGTAAATGATTCTGTGAAAGACTGAGCAACTGCAGGCACACTAACCTTATCTGCTTATTCATTCACTATGAATAGATGGAAAGGAAGATTCAAGGCAAAACTAAACCTCCATCCTCAGGAATGCTCCATAAAGAGAAAAGAAAGACTTGGAAAGTTTCTTGGGTACTTGAAAATGCAAACAAATTATGCCCCAAAAGCAAGTCAGTGGCCCACTTAGAGAAAGAGAGAGAGAGAGAGAGAGAGAGAGAGAGAGAGAGAGAGAGAGAGAGAGAGAGAGAGAGAAGAGTAGAGGCACTTAAGCACATATCACTTGCTTCCTTAAGAGTGGCCTGGATCAGTAGCAGTTTTGCTAGATTAGATCCTCACGCAGCTTTTCGGAAGAATCCTGATGCTTTCAGAGGAAGTAAAAGGAGTCTGCCAACGTGCAGCTACACTGCATCACCTGCTTTAAATGCTCAGCAGAAGTACTCAGAAAATACTCAGCAGGAGCATTTTACAGAATGGCAGAGATATCTATAATTGATGATGTGCTGAGAACAGAGCCAAGCAGCAAGCACCTCACAAGCCGACTGCCCCGCAGCCAGACCAGGGATGAGGTTGCTTCACCACCATTGCACTGTGGGTTTTTCCCATGGGAGAGCATCCATCGAAATTCATCTGCAAGCCTGGACTCAGCAACTGGGACCTAATGGATTTTCTCTGAGTTACAGAAGACATGATGTAGAAGAGAAAGAAATCTTTCATGGAGGATTTTTACACAGGTGTTTTTAAAGATGCATTAAATTTGAGTTTATTCTTAGACTATAATTACACCACATAACTATTTCACAGGCCGAAGGACAACCTTACAATATTTTTGGACTTCCTAGTGTAGAATTAGAATAAGAAAGAGGTTTGGACAATTAACCTCTTACCTGAATATATACTTAAAAGCCATAAAACCCTTAGATGTGTTGTAAAACCAAAAGCCAGGTAAGTTGCCTTTTTTTCCTCAAGTTCTCTCCTTCTCACTTGAAAGTGTGGATAGATGAGGTTTTGTTCCATACTCCTTTAAAAGCTTTGCCATGTGACAAAATATTTAGAAAAGGTGACCATCACTACAGGTCATACCTGGGGGGAAAAGAGTGAGCAGTGCCCCTGTGCTAAGGGGAACAAAGCAGGGTTTTGCTATAAAGGACAAGTCCTCTAGCATTTTCAGGCAATCCAAGAGGCTGCTGGGTGGCTGTTAAAGAGAAAAGAGGCACAGGGAAGAGAGAAGAGGGATTATTTTGCACTGGAAGTACTCCAGTTGTCTGGACTTTCTGGTCAATTCATTTTAAATAACTGGCTTTTCTCATGGCACTGTTTTTTCTGCCTTCCTAGAAACACAAAGGCATGTCTGAATATAACAAAACAAGTTATTCAAAACTTTCTGACATTCAAAAATGTTTAGTTTGGATCAAGTGCTGTGCAAAAGCATGGGACGGTCTTCCTTTTACCCAAACTGTTTTGTCCTATCTCAGATGCATAAACTGTGCAAACAACTATATTTAGAACAACCACTGAGCCARCCTCACAATGCCAGAACTGTAAAGCATTTTGTGATCTCTTAAAGTTTATATGGCAGGGTTGTGACTGTTGAGATGASGTTCTTACAAAGCTTAAGAAATGACTAGTCAAAGTACCGGTCTTATGATCCCAAATCTGTCATTTGGGCAGTACAGCTCAAATGAGTACAGCTCAAATGAGAAATGTCTTTTTCCTGAGCCAGTTTAAAAATAGATTATGTTGGCTGCACTTCTGTAAAAATGAGATCTGAGAAAACAAGGCATCAGCAAGTCTTCCACTACGTAGCACAAATGTAATGAGTAATTGTAAACTGGACTTTTCAGACTATGCTTTAATATGATGTTGCTTGCTGAAATGCTGTCAACTACAATTTCTGGTGCGAACAAGAATGCAAAAGAGAATGTTAATCCTAACAAGCTACAGATTTGAATAATCTATTTGATGACAGATCCAAGAAAATATCTGCTTCACTCAATTAAAGATACAACTCATACTTAACATAGAGCTTAGGAAAATAGCATTATCGGGAAGAGCTCATACTTCTCTCAGCCATGTCTTCATGGGTCATTATACAGAGGTGATTCCAGTTGAATGCCCAGGCTCTGCTCTTTGGCTTTCTAAGGGAATATTGTGACGTTGTTGATTTTCCCCTCTGCTGATGGTGGTACTAAACAAATTTCTTTAAGCATTTGTTCAAAGACGTGCAAACATTTTTGCAGTGATGACTGTGAGAATGCCTAGAGCATCTGACTCTGGGAGTGAATTTCACAGCCTCAGTTTAGTTCCTCTATCAAATGGAGAAACTGAAGCTAAAAACTGGACTTGTACCAGTCTAAGAAAAGGCAATTTAAGCCTGCCCGAAATTGTATGTTATTGCACATGGACTATTTGTAGTACCTGATGATTAGTTCAAACCTAGCTCAAGTAATAACACGATATGGTACAATTCTGGGAAAATAGAAATAAATGAAATTCCAATAAAATGTACAGTTTTCTAGTCAGTCAGATGAAGTATTTGCACCAGTCTATTCTTGATTTTAAGGCAATTTAAGCCATTCAGTGCAAGATTAAAAAAAAAACAAACAAAAAAAAAAACAGAAAAAATAGGCCTGAGTTTCCAAAAGAAATCCAAAACATATAATATTGAGAAGATATTTAAATACACTCCTGTGCTTACATAGGTCAATTTTCTAAGTTTATATAACAGTACTTTTGAGCTATATATCAATCCTATTGTCTATTCTTATTTCTTGATGTATTTACAATTTTTGAAATACATGTGACTATTAATATAAACTAGTATCATAAATAATTTTGTAAAACTTTGCGTTGCTCAACAGTTCCTGTAGTGTTAAGTCACTGCTGTGGAGACTAGTAGAGACAAATTGTGTTGAAAACTAACAGGAACTTACCAGACCTGATATATCCATATGTATAGTTCATCTTAATCACCATCAATATTTAAACATCTCAACAAATGAATTGATTAAAAGCCTCCACAACTCCGGCAAAGCTATTAAATTTGCTGGTATTTGCACATCAGTGTAAAACTGCTATTATTTCAATGTCATTTATTCATGGATTCAATGGCAACGAGAGAGAACAAACATTGGCCGTATATATCACTGTATGCGTGAAAAATTTATATGCAAAGCTTGAAAACCTGATCTCTTGCCAGATATTTGCTACATTCTGAGCATACCACTGACTTTGAAGCCTTCTCCTTTTGCTTCAAAAACATAGTTATAATTGAGGGTTTTCAAAACTGAGTGGTGTTTCTGAAAATCTCAAAGCTCACTTTTTAATTTCAAGTATGACAGGAAAAATGCCACGCCAGGAAAAGATGCAACTAACTGTAATATTATTCATTACTAATCTTTAATTTAAAATATAGAACTATCAAAGASTTCTGTAATGTGCCAAGGCAAAAATTGCATCTCCATGATATTCCACAGCACTTAAGCACAATCTACTAATATTAAAAAATACATATCTTGTATAGATGCTTTGAAATATAGCCTGTAGAAACTTAGGTTTCTGTTATAGGAGATAATTTCAAGAATTTACAGAACTTAAACAATTCTTTAGGATTACAGAAGATCCAAGGAAACATGTCTATAGTCTATGAAGAGAATTTTCTTACCTTTCAACCTACTGAATTGACAGGTCCTTTTAAAAATAGATAGTAAGTTCAAGCCTACTTAAGTCATGTTGGCTGTACTATCCACAGCTACAGCTGAGATCTACGATTTTAGAGGTGACTAGGGGCAAGGCTTTAGAAGAGACTTTCAAAGATTTTCAGTGCCACAGTCCTTCGGGAAACCCATGTCCACGATTCCGCTGGCCAATGGACCCTAGGGAGCCAAACAAACTTTGATACATGGCCTGTGGGGAGCTGAACATCACTCCTTGCTCTGAGCACTGTTGGGCCTGGGAGCAATAGGCTGGTAGGTTCATTTAGCCAAGAATCCCTCCAGAGAGTCAAAAACCTCTTTAATTGAATCTGCAGGCCGGTGCTCRCCTCAGTGCACTGGAAAAAAGTGGCCATGACACCGTGATTTAAAGACAAGTGCACACACTACAATCAGGGCCTGGCTGCCAAATAAAAAAATTGCGGAAAATTTGTCCACAAGCCAAATTTCTGAACACTGAGGTAACTGGTGTTCTCAAAATAGCTCAGGCTACTTTGTCCCACTGAACACTTCATAATTAAAGACCGTACTTGTGAAAAGGATGGAATAGGACACTCCACCAWGATGTTCTTTCTGTTCTCCTTTCATTATTTCCAGCTAGTAGAGTGCTAGCTAAATAAGCACCAGGAGTTGCTCTTCCATTAACGCCTCATTCATGATGCAGCCATCCAGGCTACACAGACACTATGAATATGCAGCACATTTACTCATTTCTGTTAAACAGTTACTCTTTAAGTTTTCTTATGCTTACATGATGTGTTTTTTCAAGTGTGGTATAATGGTTTTCAAAAGCGAGTTGTTATCCCGCATCATTCAGCAGATTTGTCCTTTCCATCACAAAAACAAACAAACAATATTACTCCTCTTAATGGTAGATTTTTGCTCTGTGTTTCCTTAAGTTACAACACAGGTTTAAGATACGTACAAGTCTTCATTTGCTGAGCTGCCCTCCATCATCTTTGAGAGGTCCTGGAGAGCAGGGGAGGTGCCAGAGGACTGAAAGGGAGCCAGCATCACTCCAGTCTTCAAAAAGGGCAAGAGGGAGAAGCTGGGAGACTACCGGCCTGTCAGCCTCATCTCCATCCCTGGAAAGGGGATGGAGCAGCTCATCCTGGGGACCATCTCTAGGCATGTGAAGGAAAGGAAGGTGATCAGTAGTAGTCAGAATGGATTCACCAAGAGGAAGTCATGTTTGACCAAACTGATGGCCTTATACAATGGGATGTCTGGCCAGCTGACACTGAGAAAGCCATGGACGTTGTCTACCTTGACTTCAGCAAGGCTTTTTGACACTGTCTCCCATAACATCCTCATGGGGAAGCTCCAGAAGTGTGGAGTGGACGAGGTGGATTGAGAAGTGGCTGGATGGCAGAGCTCAGAGGGTGGTGATAAATGGGGCTGAGTCCAGTTGGAGGCCTGTGGCCAGTGGTGTCCCCCAGGGGTCAGTRCTGGGCCCAGTGCTGTTCAACTTGTTBAKCAATGACCTGGACGAGGGCACRGARYGCACCCTGAGCAAGTTTGCGGACGACACCAAGCTGGGTGGAGTGGCCGACACTCYGGAGGGCYGYRCTGYCATCCAGAGGGACCTGGACAGGCTGGAGAGTTGGGCAGAGAGGAACCTCATGAGGTTCCATAAGGACAAGTGCAGGGTCCTGCACCTGGGGAGGAATAACCCCAGGCACCAGGACAGATTAGGGGTTGACCTGCTGGAAAGCAGCTCCATAGAGAGGGACCTGGGAGTCCTGGTGGACACCAAGTTAACCATGAGTSAGCAGTGTGCCCTCGTGGCCAAGAAGGCCAATGGGATCCTGGCTGCATCAGGAGGAGTGTTGCCAGCAGGTCAAGGGAGGTGATTCTGCCCCTCTACTCAGCTCTGGTGAGGCCKCACCTGGAGTATTGGGGGCAGTTCTGGGCTCCCCAGGACAAGAGGGATGGAGAGGGTCCAGTGGCAGGCAATAAAGATGATTACAGGACTGAAGCATCTATCTTGTGAGGAAAGACTAAGTGAGCTCGGCCTGTTTAGCCTGGAGAAGAGAAGGTTGAGAGGGGATATGATCAATACGTATAAGTACCTGAGGGGTGAATGTAGGAAGGAGGGAGGCAAACTCTTCTCATTGGTGGCCAGTGACAGAACAAGGGGTGATGGGTACAAGTTCAAACACAGGAAGTTCCATCTCCATATGAACAAGAACTTCTTTACTGTGAGYGTGACAAAGTCCTGGAACAGGCTGCCCAGAGAGGTTGTGGAGTCTCCTCTGGAGGGCTTCCCAACCCMCTTGGACGCAGCCCTGTGTCCCATTGCTATGGGTGTCCCTGCTCTAGAGGTCCCTTCAAACCTTAATCATTCTGTGATTCTTCCCTACAATATTTTTTTGTAGATTTAAGAAAATGCTTTATCGTTACTGAAGAAATCATTATTTAAGCAGTTTCTTTACGCACCACAAGTACAACTAGACAAAGTATTTTTGTATTGAGGGTAATTACTAATTTTCTCATCCTATGCATGCTGGGTTGAACTCTAAGATGCTCATCAGAAAGCTCTTTTTCAGTTTTATGGCAGATGGAAATGCACAAGAGTTTAAAAACTGGGCTACCTAACTGCATAAAATTAAAATTTTAATTGGTGCTGCATAAAACAATTACCAAAAGGTATTAATTTATTTTTTKAAATGTTCTCCTGTAACCAGTAGCAGTGACTTCAACTGGAAACTACTTGTAAATTAAAACATGGATAGAAAGAACTAGACACAACTCTTGGCACAGAGTAAGAAGACTAAAGTGGTCCTGGGAAGCTGCAGCAGAAGAAACAGCTGGATAGTTTCTTGGGAGCTAATCAGTGAGGCTTCTTTCCTTGACATTTTAAGCAAGATGGATAGACTGAAAAACAGCAATCCCACAAAGATTTGCACACTTATTAGAGTGTAGAAGTATTAAAATTATATTAAAAAAATCTTAATACGCTGTTCTTAAGGAATACCGTGATTCTTCTTTTATTCAAACAATAAAATTTAACTGCAACATCGGTGTTCAGCAACACATTACTGCTGAATAGGACCTTCATGCATTATACACTTTATCTGTTTCTAAATTGAACACGGGTTCAAGATACGAGGCTAGCACCTCTTACAGCACCTCAAGCTAAAGCTTAGCTTCATCAGTGATTTAGTACCATGACTCTTCATCTTTTGTTACTTAGGCTTTCAGAACCCGAGTTTAACTCATGCTTGAACTGCCAAATCTAGAAGAGCATTTCTTATCGCAGCAGCACTGTCTTGCTTGCAGGCTAAGCAATCTTATATATCCCATTATGAAATCTGTGTCTATCCTAATCTCTACTGTATCAAGCTGTATACTTTCAGCAAGTACTTGACAAGCAGACTTGCTGGTACGTGTTGGTACAGAAATAGAACACAAACATACTAAAGAGTTGACTTGTGCTTGAACTCCAGCATAACACGGAACTCTCTTCAGCAACTTTTGCCCCTGAATGATGAGGTAGTTACAGAAGGAGAACGGAAAGTCTTAAATAAAACTGGTTCTTGTTCATTATTGGTATGACATCAAGAAGTGACATAAAACTAGAAAAAGGTTTCTACATGGAGTAACACCCTGAAATTTGAATTTGAGAAGAATAAAGACAAGATCCTGTATGGAGGCACAGAAACCAGCTGCACACACAAGCAGTGAAAAACAAATTTCAAGAGTACATCTCTGCAAAGACATATCTGAGGGCCAGAAAATTCAGAATATGAATTGATGATGCATTTGGGAAGACAACAAACCTAACAGCTGAGTGAATCACCCAGGGTTGAACCAAAAAGACATGACAAAACTTACTCCAACAGCAATAGAGCAGAACCAGTTGAACAGTGCCCTTTTTTGGGCATCACAATTCAAGAGAAACAAAGGACTTCTTTTTCCCATCTAAGTCCTGCAAAGATGAAGACCAGTTGCCCTCACTCTGCCTTTCCAGAAATACAAGCATCCCTCACATTTCCATTGTACCATCCTGTACAACGGAACCTTTGCATTCAACCAGTCACTGCTCAGACTAAAAATTCCCTTTGGTCCAAAGCATATTTTCTAGAAAGACTTCTACTTAAATAGAAGAAATTCAGTGTACGGTAGTATCTATTATTTGAAATCTTGTGCCTAGCTACAATATAAGACCACTTGAACATTTTGGGGATGTGATATGTGTTTGTACAACAGGTTCAGTTGAAAATACCACAGAGAATTTCTGCATTTTACACATGTTGATGTGTAACCAACAACAGGTACATTTGATCTACTTCAGAATTTTTCTCCTATCATTAATGAAAAAAACATCTTTGGTCAAAATCAAAAGGGACACTCCTGTCATTTAATCCACYTGGAGGGTCGGAAGGCCAGCACACACATTAATGCTCTGCAAGATGGGGGCAATGGGGAGAAAGAAATGACACGGCTCCAGTGAATTATAAAGCACTGGCTGGCAGTGAGCTGTAGGACTGTTTTTCCTAATAGGCTTAGCCAGCGTGTCTGTCACAGCTCCCTAGATATGTTTGATATTTTTGAGCTGTAAAACTAGGGAGGCACTTGGTAAGTTTTGTTTGCTTCAACTAACTGTATCTCTTGAAAACAAGAGAGCTAATTTATTTATTCATTTATTTAYCGTCAGCCTAACGTCTATTTGCGTGTGTGTGGGGATGGAGAATAACTACTATCTCCTCTGCACACATTTAATGTTTATTATTGCTAACGCTCTGCAAGTATCACAGTATCAACAGTGTACTGTTTAAGAGAATACCGGACTGCAGCCACAGAAACAGAGACCTTCAGCACCTACCACAGTTGTCTTCATCAGCCTGATTCCCGCAGTCATCCTCACCATTGCAGTGAAGCAGCTGAGGCAAACACTTGGTCATGTTGCCACATGGGAAGTAGCCCAGGGGGCACGTGGCACCAGCTCCAGAAAGCAGATCTTCCAAAGAATCGCCAATGACTAAAGAAAAACASAAGGAACATGCTCACTTTAAGACATTTTTGAAAATCATTGGGATTGTGCTCTTATAAAAAAACTCATTTACATTTGAATGTGGACATCAAGTGATAAATACATACTAGTTTATTAAATATGCAATTTAAGAGTGTATTGACTGTTTTTAACTTGGCAAGAAACATTTATATTCTAAACTAATTAAAATTGCTTTGATATAAATCAGCAAGGTAATTCCTCCCCACCCATCCCAGTAATACGATGAAAACACTAATTATACAAGACAAACGACCTCCGGCCACCATTTGAAAGGATATTCTCTTTTCACTAGATATTAATTTGTTATAGCAACACACCAGATAAGCTGTGTAGATATGGGAAATATTAATTTGCACTGAAGTTTCAGACCCAGATAGATAAATCCTGCATACACAARGCCAGAATTAGATATGTTTAAACACATTCTTATTTTATGGTAACTACTAGATGTAAAGTAACTGATCATCAAAGAACAGGAAAAACGTGGGTAGCTCTGTGGTATAGTTTTGCCGAAGAATGACTAGCACATACCTGCAACTATGGATCCTTTGGAGAGTAGTCAGCCTCACCCCAGAAAACTGGAGATATTGTTCAGAGCCCATCCACCTGAAGCTTAGGTGCACAGTTCATGTTTTCTGCTAAGCCTACTGCTTTATGAGACCCCTTACAAAACACAGGAACCTCCTTCAAGTAACAGAGGGAGGGAAGGTAGATGCTGGTGGGGGACACCTAGGGTGGCTGAAGCACTGGGGGTCTAGTTTCTGCCCATCTTCTATTCCTCAGCAACCTGTACTGCAACAGCTTCAGCTGTCCTTTTTACATACACATGCTGTTTACCAGTCCCACCAGTGCAAATTCTGCCACTTTTTTCCGGGTAGAGGACAACTGTTCTACTGCTTTTCCAGCATACTACAGGGTGCCAGCTCCAGTTTTCCACCAGGCACTGTGACAGGATGAGCTTTTACCCAGCAGTACTTGATGGAGAGGATTTCATTATGCCAGAAAGGAATYGTTATTCTCCAATATATTCAGAACAGGAAAAAGTACAATCAGGCAAGAACATTATCAAGGCTTCTTGTGCTCCCGAAGCTTTGACAAGCCTACCTAGCAAAGCAGCATTCTGCAGAGGCCTGCAAATTTAATTACTGAAGTATTAAAAAAAAAAATCTTAATTACAGCTAGCATTTGTCTTAGTAGAGATATATTTTATATTGGAATTTGTATTCCAAGCTTCACTGCTTTCTTGGAACATTTGAAATACTCCACTGCCCCCACTAACCATGATGTAATGCTTACTCTATGTTTCCACTTTTGAATTATTTTTGAAATTGTTTCTTTAACACAAAAGGTAAAGCTTGTATAAAAAGTTCTCAATATAACAAGGAAAATATTATTCTACAATATTTTATGTTTGTTTTCCTCCTCCTTTTGAACTAAAGGAATCATCTGTAGGTGAATTAATTACTGCAAATTCATAAAAAGTTAATCTGTGAAAAAATGCATTTTGAATCCATGAAAATATTTACAACTACTGAACATTGAAATGTAGGTACAATATCACAAGAAAATTATTCCCATTATATCCAGATACACAGAATCCTCTTTGGTATTACAGGTGTTTTCCATAGAAAGAGAAAGCTCTACATCCCTGGAGACAACTACTGCATGATTTTGAAAAGCTAATTTGCTTTTAGACACACCATTCACTTGTTTAATTGCTCAGAGATGTTTGATCTACGTTTTTATTTCTCCTATAGGTAAGTACCAAAGATAAGGCTATGCTCTAATTCCTGGGAGAATTCATTCTTTTCAATGGTTCTCGGTTGCTCTGCTGTTCTGTGCAGATATTCAAATTGCTACATCTAACCTGTTTCTCTCCAAAACTAGTGCTAACCATGCTCATGATACGGTGCTAAGCAAACTGTAGTACTTAAGTGTCTAAAGCCTCATGCAGCAAAAAGACATAGAGCACAGAGACAAGTAGGGCTCCCTTCAGTACAGCCATCTGCCATGACCAAAGTCCTGAYGCTGTTAAGGAAAATAATAAAGAAAAACAAATGTAAGTGGGAAAAAAAAGCATACATTTTGCCAGTTCTTTCTCACTGCACGTTGAAGATGCTCAGAGTTGAGTGTTGCTTAAAAAAAGTTGACCTCTGTACAGTTTATATTCCAAATGGTGATGTTAATCTTCTCAAGGTAGCACTGAAGGGATTTTCACAGCATTTTCCAATAAATATTAATTACTGAACTTAATAATTTATTTTCTGTCACAGTTTAGAAACTACTCTTTGTGAAAGAATGAACTACTACTCATAATTTAATGAGTTCTTTGAAAATTTATTGCCTTTTTGGTAACCTGAATTACTCATGCTGTATTCAGGTGGATGACCTTGGCATGACAGATATTTTTCTGTCTGGGAAAAAATGTTTAGAGGCCACGAGAACGTGAACAACTTTTTCCTAGTCTGATTGTGGAAAGCACCAGTCTTTGTCCACTGACTTGTTAACATCACTTTGTTTATTCAACACAGACAGAAGTTTGGACCTTGCAGATTAAAGGAGATTTATGAGTGGAAAAAACCCAAACTCCTGATGAAATATATGGCAAAGATGACAAAGACAGAAAATGAGATGAGAAAGGAAAGTAAATTGCAAAATGCTAGACAAAATTCCAAAGATTCTCTTCTGGACTAAGGAAATTAAAAAGTGCTTTGAAGGGAGGAGAATGGATAAAGATCATACGGTGCAACTAGAACAAAAGCATCTTTCTTATTTTACAAATACAAAGGGTTTTGACACTAGAGTTTATCATGTCAAGATAATGATCTATCACACTACCTTTCTCATGAAGTATTAATGTGTTAACTTTACTACCCTTTACTCATCTTCCACTATGAAGCAACTGAACTGCTCTTCCAATCTCTCCTGTTTTGCTGTCCAATATTTAAGCAGTTAAACTTTTTGATAGGATAGCTCCAAGAACTACTGATTAACGGTTATTCCATCATGTCGTTGGCTGTTTCACAGTGCTGTTGAACCAAGAAAAATAAATATCTTATTTTGTAGTTGKTCCTGTTAACTCTTAGGCTACTCCCCTGGTCTGTATGTACATCAAGCTCAAAAGGCATCTCTATTTGTTTAGCAGAAGGCATCTCTATTTGCTCACAGTTCAGCTAGGATAGAACATCTCATCTTTGCTTCTTGTGGTTAAAATAGCATTGCAAAAGCATAAGACCTCCTCTAACAGGAAAGAAGTACTAACAGCAAACCATATGAACAATCAACCTGGATTTGTATTTTGCAATTGACAGAATTTGTCAGGAAAAAAAAAAACAAAAGAAAACAAACCAATAACAGCAAAAAATAAGCCCTTTGAAGATACAGCAAATCATGAGGTAGATGGTTAAAAAAAACCCAAAAAACTAATGTGCATAATGAATTAGTTACAGAGGTAGAAATGTGAGAAAAAAAAAAAAAGTGAAATTCAGGACAGCTTTGTTTACACCTCAGTTGCAAGAACAAGAACTGTAAATCTGTGACAGGCTTGATTTTGTCATATGGTTTGCTTTTACAGATCTGCCAAATAAAATTTTTATCTTTGTAAGGATAATATAGAAAAGCCCTACCTGACTCTCCAGTGGCATAGAGGTAATCTCATAAGTTTCAGACATTCCAAATGAGAAAATATTTTTTCTCATAATGATTGCAATAAGCATTACTATATTTGAAGCATATCCAGAATAAATGGAAATATGTGAACTGTTATGAAAAGAAATTGCAGAGACAAGAACAAGCAACTTGCTGACAAAACGTTTGCCATTTCATTTCAGAATAATGTTCTGCAGTTTAGTGAATATTCATGATTCTGAAAACAGTATATGCCTGATTACCATATACTTAGCTATTTTCCATCCTTTTCCGATTCCTCTCTAGTTGTCAAAAGAGAGCATGAAATCAAAACCAGATTGATTGAATCAATAGGAAAAACACACTTAGGCAAATCAAAAGCAAGATATTCACTGAGGTTACTTCTTTTCCTTCAGATTAAGTTAATTCACAAAGCTCACTTTTTCTATGTACTCTTCAAGAAATTTCATCAAGCCTTTAAGACAGGTTTTGAATCACATTTGAATCACAATTTGTGTATGAGAAACCAAACAAAGTGTGTGTACACTGAAAGAAAAATGACTTCTCACCTGTCGCTTCCAAAARACACATGAAAATGATTTAATTGTGGAAACAGAACAAGCTTATTGGGTAGAGTCAAAAGCAATTAAATTAATCCAAGCAGTATGATTCACTGCTTGGTACTTGTTAGTTACATCTGTGTCAATTATAGCTCCAAATAAAAGTATATCATAATAGCAGCAAAATATTTTCATAGCTTGGTAAATTTTATCAAATGAAGACCCAGTTTCACAAACAAACTCAAAATAACACAAATTCCATCAGCCTAACAAGCCAATATGTCTTTTTTTCCCCTTTCAAGCAGTTATCAATTTGAAAGTGGTGAGGTTGATGAAATCAAACTATTCTGCAAAGCAGTTCTCAGAGAAAGAGGACTGAAGCAGGATTTTGTTAGGGAAACAAACACCCTGCACTTACTACAGAAGCCCGTGAGAAACTTCAAGCAGACTGGGCTACCACCCTTTACAAAGTCCTCAGCTGGAGATTAATGAGAATATTTTAAAGCCAATATAACAGCAACATATTCTCACTTCCAAGATTAATAAAGTATGTCTGAATTATTTTTATATGTTTTAAATTCCAAAAGAAAAGAAGTTCCCATTCTGCTGCAACGTGTGAAAGATGTGACACTGTTGACACAGAGCAAAATCTAATAGGAGACAGGTACACATAGGAAAAGATTGAAGTGCTAGGAGGGCAAATACCAACAAAAGAAAATGTCAAGACAGGAGACCAAAAAATATAGTTAAGATGAATAATCAAAAAGAAGGCCCTGGTCT